CAAGCTAAGGAAATAATGTTGTGTGTGGGTTTTTTGTATGTTCTGTTTCTTTGCTCATACAAATAGTTGATAGTTACTATAACTACCTTTGAATTGTTTATCGAAGGTGATCACTTTGTTCCTGCCGACGAACATTGTTTCCGTGAAGAACTTTTGGCCAAATTCCTATACTGGCTGATGGATACGTATGTTGTTGAGTTGCTCAGATCGTTTTTCTATATCACCGAGACCATGTTCCAAAAAAACATGCTTTTCTACTACCGAAAGTTTATTTGGGGCAAGTTACAGAACATTGGAATTAGGTAACACAAGAAAACTAATTAAACATTAATATATAGAAATACTGTGTTTTGTCGTGTAAAGTTATATTTCTGCTTTAATTTGTTGCCCATTTATCCTCCTTTTATTTACTTAATTTCCCAAAAGAAAATACAACCTCTGTAGCATGCAGAGTTCGTAATTTCAGAAATATTTTGTGGGGGAAAACTGATGCAAATTCAGAATTAGGAGAAACCGTTGCAATAATAAAATCCATTATGAAGAGGTTTTTGTTTTTTGATAAGTAAATTTTTTACACCTTTTAGCAGTGCGTGAAGCATAGTGATAGAATCTCCAGAGTATCCTTGTGAAAGTTCATTAAAAATACTCAATTTGCTTCAAGTGCCTTAATTTAAAAACAACAAAACCAAACATCTGCTGAAATCCTGTAATACTCTACTAATAAAATTCAGACAGTAGCCTTGTGGTTTTAGAAGTGGGTTTTTTGAGGGGATTTAGAAGGGACAGCTGCTTTTTTAGTGCAGGTGTGGAATTCTATGCTGGTTTTTGGTATTAAAAATGCATGCATGAATTTAAGTTAGGGCATTATTTAAGGTAAATTTTTAAGCAATTAAGTGAGAAAACAGGAAATACCTGAAGGCAATTTTAATGAACAGTGTTGTGCACCCATCTACACTGTTCACATCTTTCAGGTTTTCATTATAAAATGTTGGTGTCTGAGAGAGCTTTGGAACTGAAAAATGAGCATACTCAATGTCTTGTGTTTTACTGTCTGTTCTTTATGGTGAACCTTTTGCTTTCGCAGTGATCTGTTGGTCTACAATGTTACATGTGTGATTTTTCCCCTTCTGCCCCACCACACCCTGATTTCAACACTGATATCTCCAATGCAGCTCTTTGCAAATATGTTTGCACATAATGGGGCCTCGATCTTGTTTGCAGTTGTAGCATAGATGATGCACTTTAAATAGTAGTAGTAGAATGTAATTTTCAGTCCCACACATTCTGTTTGTCTTGTCTTCAAACTAACAGCCTTAGTGTTGCAATTAGTGTTTTATGCAGTTGTAATGTACTCAAAGGCTACTTTTTGTCATGAAGTATGATTGAGTAATTTTTACATAATAGATATACTGCTGGTTTTACTGGGGTATGTGATTTAAAGAAAACAAGTAACTTGGGGTTTAGCTCTTTTGTCCCTCTTCCCTGTATCCCAGAAAAACCCAAGGTGCTTTGCACTCAAAAGACCCTAATCTAGGCTCGTCTTGTTTCTTCTGATTTCCTCCCCATATATTTCCCCACTATAAAGGAAGCCCCTTCTCACCTTTGGCTCGGGAGGTCCCCGAACTGCAGATTATTGGAAGCTGGAGAAACATTCCAAGGAAGTGCAGCTGTGTGCTTGCCAAAGGCGTGTTCTAAGAGCAGGGTGTTTGCTGTTGGCTACAGGATACATAGTTTATAGGGACTTCTAGTCTGATCCCAACAACTACACTTAAGCTTCTCTGACTAGGGCTTTCAGCGCTGCTTTTTCCAGTGTGTAGTGCAATGTGAAGTCTACCAGTGGTCCAGTTTACTGCATTCATACATGTGGTCAGCTGCCTACTTCACGTGGGAGGAGAGAAATTGGGGGTTACAGATATTGGGAAACAAGTGTTTATGGCTGCCTTGGCCATTTTGAGGCTGTCCAAGCACTGTCCTCTCTTAACCAGCCAGTGTTTTCAGGTGCTGTTGGTGAATCAGTGCCAAAGGCTGTTGAGCTGCTTCCATCTTCCCTGGAGGAGGAGTATCTGGTGGCCTCAGTTGTTCACTAATGGCTGTTCTGTTCTGGTTCTCCTCAGCTGGAGCTGCTCAGAGCAATTGTTCTGAGCTGGTTTGCAGGAAGGCATTTGTAGCTACTAATTCCTTTCCATTTCTTCTGCATCTTCCTTTGGAAAAAGAGAATGGATGGAACAAGCATGGACTGAGTGGACCTGGATCTTACTTGTGAGCTTACCCTTGCACTGCATTGTCACTAGGGAGTAAATCCTCCTCCTGAAGCACTGTCCATATGAGTAGATCATTCTGTGCAGAATCCCTCTCAAGGATACAGACCATGGTTCTGACAGGGGACCTGGATCTCTGTGTTTGCCTTGCTGCATTGGTGGTGTGAGTGTGCAGGTCATTGCACACAGACAACTTTGTGTTGATTTTTGAAGCTACACCAAACTTCATACCCCAAATTAAGAACAGTATTTACTAAGAAAAAACATTTCACGATACGTTGCTTTAAGTTCCATGGCCTGCAGAATGTAAAGTTATGTTTAAAAATAGTGAGCACGGTGCTGTGGTGACAGCACATGTTTTAAGGCTCATGCCCTCCCTGTCTTTGCCATATACAGTGGCTGCCGAGGATTAAAAATGCTGCAGAAATTCTGAATCTCACCCGTGAGACTGCAGTGAGATGTCAAAAGACAGCAGGACCATCCACTCAGCTTCTTCCAAGTTCCCGTGCTTAACAGCGTTGTGAGTGTGCCAGTGAGAGCAGCACAGTTCAGTGGCTGCTGGATTAGCACACAGTCAAAATCATTAGCAATGCTATAGATGCCATGAAATAAGCAATGAATGTTGCTGAAGGCAAAATTACATGAAATTCTACAGCTGGCCAGAGGTAGTAGTGAAGATCTGCCAATAACTGGTCTTTGTTTTCAGCTTCAAAGGATGTCTTTATTTTTTTATGTAGTGATTGAGGTTGATTGTGAATTTTTTCCCCTCCCATCTTGAATGTGAGCTAAAGAGGGATGGAGATTTGATCATTCAGTTTTTTTCTATTGAACTGGAGTCACTTGATTTATCTTGGTGATCTACCTAATACTGTAGTAGAGGATGAAGTTTTATGTGGTCAGGAAAGAATGTAATTCTACAAAAAATAGTGATCTCTATCGGTGAAAAAACAGATAGGTCCTTTCTGCTTTACTTTGGGCAGCATCTGTACCAGGAATTTAATTCCAAAGTTGGAATATAAATCCTCAAAACTCCTTCTCAGTAATAGCTCAGCTTGCCTGCCCTGGGTTGTATACCTCAGATCCCGACAATCCCAAGTAGCTGGATCGTTAGCTTGTATGTGAGTTGTGCTGGCATACGAAGGCATACAGACATACACAGAGTATTTGTGTGCCTCTCGTACCTGCATCCTTGCCTTCTTGGGAGTCTCCCAGTGCATGCTTACCAGGTTTCTGCCATCCACCAACTGCCTTTTTTGGTAGTGTGGCCTCCTTTTGCTAACTGTCCCAGTGAGGAATGCGAAAAGTCTTCATGCAAGTTCAGATTCACGTTCCTTCTTTTGCAGGGACTTGAATTGCCCAGGTTCACTTCACAGCAGAGTACCATAACCAGTAGACTGTAGGGCTTTTTAGCCTGGCACATTTTGCCATTCTGAACAATACAAGCAGTGCAGGAGATTGATCCAGGTCTTTTATGTTGCAAGTGGGGTACTTTAATGCTGCATCTAAAGTAAAAGCAAGGGCTTTTGCTCCACCTCCTTTTCCTGACTCATTGTATGGGAAAGTATTGATTTGGGCTAAGCTACACTGAACTGTAAATCCTGACGGGGTGTCTGAGGGGAAACACATTTCCCAGTAAGATGAACTTACAAAGCTCAGAACTGTGACTTTGGGAGCCTTTGGTTTTTCATTATTTTTTACTGTTCACTTCAGCTGACACCTGCTCATCAGGTCAGTCCTGGATACCTAAATGCCCTTATGTTGTGTATGTATCTTATCATCTCAGTAAATTATAACTTTTAATAAGTAGTAGGTCCCGTAAGTGTTGGGAGTGGAACAGCCCATTACAGTGTGTCTTTCCTTGGAGCTTTCCTAACATAGTTTTCAGAAGGTTCTGTTCAACTTTGTTAATGTCTTTCAAACTTCTGAAACTGTCAGAAATATATGGCATCCTGCTTCTTGCATAAAACATTTGTCATAATGTTCAAATGTATTCTGCTAATCTGTGCTTAAATTTTAATTTGTGTTAATTAAGAGAGTGTTTTATTTGCATCAAGCAGAAATGTATACTCCCTTCTTATTGTATTACATTGTCATTAAGATACTGTGAAATTTTTCTGAAACTTGAGTTTCCATGTCACTTTCTGCAGAGGTTAGTATTGGTATTATCTTAGAAAAATATTTGGCATCAGTTATCATAAAGATATTACATGCTTTAACTTACCGCCTTTCCCACTGCTTACACTAACGTTGTATTTGTATTTCAGAAACCATTTTGCCAGAGTACATCTACGGCCTTTATCTTCAAAGGAGATTGAAGCTGTCCGTCAAAAAAAATTTGTTCTTATGGCATCAAAGCTCCGGTTTATTCCCAAACTAAATGGGTTAAGACCCATAGTAAAAGTGAGCAGTGTTGTTGAAGCACAAGCATTCAGCAGGGAAAGCAGAGAAAAGAAGGTTTTTATTTTCTTTATTGTTTTATGTGTATTTGTTGTAGGCAGCTAATAAACTCAGTAAGGGTTTTTGTTACATAAAACTAGTTTTGATGTGGTGAACTGAAACATTCTAATCAGAATGACTGAATTGGTCCGTTACAACTTAACTTCTCCTTTCCCAATGCTTAAATTACCATTAGCCTTCAGTTCCAGAATCACATACTTCTGTTTGCAAGCCTGTCTTATGGAAATGAGCCTAACAGAATGGCATGATTTGTCAAGTAGTCCCATTTTGTTTGGGATGGATGAGTCTGGCCTGTTGGGATTTACCTGAATACTGATTGTGCATGTTGATTGGCTAGTTGTCTGTGGAGCCAGATCAGTCCAGGGAGCTGAACAGTGATGAACTGGTGTGTTACAGAAGAAGGTCTGAGAAGGGCAAGGAAGCTGGATCGAGAACAGAAGGGAGATAGGAAGGAAGCTGAGAATAACTCTAGTGTAGGAACAGAGGCAGAACATGCAGTGCACAGTATAATCTATTTAATCTTTGCATTTGTACCTGTATAAAGTATCTCTAGAGGCTCAGCTGATGGTGCAGCTGGAGTTAGCATAAAGTCTCAGAGCACATGTTCTTTTTGCTATTCTTGTTGCAGTTGTTACCTCCAGCAGAGAGAATGAATGATATTTAAGAAATTACCTTCAAATCAGTGGCAGTTTTATTTGGTGGTGTTCATCTGTTTATCTCTGCAAGTGTTGATTTCCAAGAGTCAAGTACAGAAACAAAAACATTTTCCATAGGATTTAGCTGCACCAAGAAAAAAAAAAATTCTCCAAGGCTGTTTTATGACTTCCAAGTAGTTGCTGCAGTGATATTCAGGCTTTCTGAAAGCTTCTGTTGAGCAAAATAATATAGTAAATACATAAATTTAATCTCAAACTTCATATAAACATGAAATCTCTGTATTTCACAGAATTTAATATGTTTCAACATTATTTAAGGTGATTCTCTTTGGTCTCTTTAGATGAATCATTACAACACTCAACTAAAAAATCTATTTAGTGTGTTAAATTATGAGCGGACTATAAACACCAGTTTTATAGGCTCTTCTGTGTTTGGGAAAGATGATATCTACAAGACATGGAAGCAGTTTGTTATGAAGGTTCTTGAATCTGGTGGTGAAATTCCTCATTTCTACTGTGTAAAGGTATGTATTTTTAATTATATATTCACACTAGCTTTTCAAAGCCATCTTTTGCAGATACTTTTATAACCGTAATAGCTGTGATCTGACTGCATAATTATTTCTTTTTCAAAATAAACTTTCGTGCACAGACTTGGGTTGTTTTTTTGGTGTGGGTGGTTGGTTGCTTTTTGTGAATGGGTGTCCCTGCAGTAGCACTTCCTGTCCTTGGATATTTTTGTGTTCATCTTTCTGTGATGTAGAAGCTGTTGCTTCTGTACATGCACTGGATTTTTGAAGTTACATTTATACATTGGATATTAAAATGGGACAAAGATAGAAGCTCGGATATGCTTTTTGAACCACCATCCCAAATGAAAACCAGAAAAAACTTACTATGTGCATTTGGATAAATTCAGTGTCTTTTAAAAAATTGGTCTCAGTATCTCAGTATCATTAGTTTCTGTTGAAAATGAACACTTCTAGTGTTTTTTTTCCAACACTTTCCTTCTTCCACTTTGGAAAAGTGAGTGCTTGTCGTATCCTACTATTTGAAGGAGTTTCTTCTTCACACTTTTCAGTTATGTCTGGCAGGCAATATTTTGTGTTTGAGCTCAATTCATAGCTTTGAATTGGGGCAATGTATACAGATGTATGTAAATTATACATTTATCTATATTATAGTGGGGTGACTCTGTTATGTCTCATATGTTAGTTGGCATACTACCCTTTCAGTGATTGTCTCATTATTTTTCAAGCCAAAGAATCATGTCACTGACATAATTATACTAAGATTGTTGCTTCTTTAGAAGAGTTTCAGTTTTGACTATGACAAATGCAAGCAGAGGTAGGATTGTGATATGAGGTTTAGGAAAGGTAAAATATGTAGGTTTGCAGCTTTCCAAAAGCCCAAGATGTCACCTCCATGATCATATGGCAAGGAAAGTTTCTTCAAATATTTAAACATATAAAAATATCAGAAATTAACTTAAATGATCGAGGGTTCAGTGTTGGCTTTAAGTTGCATATGGTATCATCTTCTGAATTGTGCTAAAACTGATGGTTTGGACATCCCTTTTGAGGAATGCTCATTGATGAGTGGGGAAGAATTTTTCAGATAAGCAATGAGTTTTTGTTTTGTCACAAATTTGGACTGAATAATGCAATAATTTCACTCCTATATGATTTATATTTCAGCCTTGCTTATATACTTTTTTTTATGCTACCACAATATTTGCAGCTATACTGATGAATACATAATGGAAGATATTTCTTGTATTTCAGGCTGATGTGTCCAGGGCTTACGATACCATTCCTCACAATAAACTTGTGGAAGTGATTTCGCGGATCTTAAAGCCTGAGAAAAGAACTGTCTACTGCATACGGCGCTATGCTGTGATTATGATTACCACAAGTGGAAAAGCCAGGAGGTTCTATAGGAGACATGTATGAGTTGCTGATTTCTTCTGTTTGCTGTAAATATATTTTGGTCCAAGGAAAGATTTTGTTTATAGCTGGTTTTAGCTTTTTATAGTTGCAATTTGAATACTTCATAAACCCTTTTTTTAATAGTGTTTGATATTTTCCAGAGGTAAAAAAACTTCTTTTTTCTCTCTGTACTTTTTAAAGTTTTTACTCACTTATAGTGAGAATAAAGATAAATGTGTTGTGGAAATAGGGGTTTGTGAGGGAGACATTTCATTTTAACAGTAGCAGAATCGTTGTTTTAAAATAACTGGCCCTTTGACCTTCACTGAATAAAAAAGTCTATGATTGAATTTTCTATTGCTTTTGTTGTTTATTTCTTCACAATTTATGCAAATATGCAGGTTTCTACTTTCAAGGATTTTATGCCAGACATGAAGCATTTTGTGTCCCAGCTTCAGGAGAGTGCCTCATTGCAAAATGCAATAGTAGTTGAGCAGGTAAGTATTGTGGGGCTTCTTTTAACTGGAAAAGAAAGCTGCAGAAGAATTAGAGAAGATTGGGATTTTTGATTGAATGTACATATTATGTAGTGACACCACTTCTAGTTACCCAGTACCTTCTGTAGAAAGACTTTTGTCATCTCTTCTGTGATGTTTATAACAGGCTCTCAGTGTTCAGTGGGAGGAGTGCACCAGGCAATAAATCTGACAAAATGTCCTTTTAGACTTTTCCCAGATTTTCTCACTGTTGTCTCAAACTTTCATTTTAACCAGTGTTTTCTTTTTCCCAGCTTCATTGTTTCTTGTAAGAGTTTTCAAGTGAGAAACTAACTATCTAATAAAGAAGGACTTCAACACTTGCTGTCTCCAAAACATGAGAGTGAGAAAAACGTATTATAAACCAAGTAGCTAAGAATGTGGCATCTTGAATAGCAAACTTCACAGAATAGAAAGATGGCTTTTTTTTAAGAGCTTATTTTATGCTCATTGGAGAGCTTATTTTAAAGATTATCTACCAAGGTTGATAAGAATGAATCTTGTTTTGTTTTGTCCCATTTCTAGAGCTTAACTTTTAACGAGACAAGTACCAGCCTGTTTAATTTTTTTCTTCAAATGATACATAACAACATCCTGGAGATTGGGAACAGGTAAAAAAGAAGTTAGTTTTTCTTTGTATAGCATGCTTGGTTTGTTTGTTTGTTTTCTGTTAAGGATACTTTTAATTGGCTCAGGAGACTTTTGATAGCTTTTTTTAAAAGATTTTTATTTCATGTTAATTTGAAATTAGGCTCCAAAAAAGTGTGAAGAGTTTAGAATCAAATTTATGCTGAATAAAATTTCTCTTTCCTACCTGGATGATGTTACCTGTACCTATGCATTTTTTCATAGATACGTTAACCTTCTTCATCTAAAACTTTAAGTGTAATTCCAAGGGAAAATACTTAAAAATGTTGGGATCCACAGTGGTGAAAAAAAGCAAGGTGCCATCCAAGCAAAAGCCTTGTTTAGTCATTTCCGTGTAGTGTAAAATTAAACCTTTTCTGCATGGTTTTCCTATTTGGCAAGTTACAGGAAAAATAAAAGGCAATAGCAATAGGAATTAAAATTTGGCAACTCCAGAATTAAGAATCAAATGTTATAGAGAGTAGCAATGCAGATTTCTTCTTGTGTTGGTGCTTACCTTTTACCTGTAGGTGGCGAATGTGTACCATGTCTAGAAAGCAAGTACTTACATGATCTTTATTTGTAAATTCAGAGTGAGGTGTGTTAGAATGAATACCTTCTTGCTCTTGAAAAAATACCTTTATTTTAGAATACTTAATCTCAAAGGACTGAGGGAGAGGGAGAAAAGCTTTCAAACAGGCAAACAGAAGAGCGTTTATAGGTTTTTCTGGCATTGATGCTTACACTCGCTTTGGGAGGATCATGAGGATGCTGATGTGGCATGACTTTAAGAATGACTAACCAACATCAGTGTGTTTCATGAAAGTTGACTGGTTTTACAGAAAGCACAGTGTGACAAAGCCAGCTTCGCACTTACTTGAGTTCAGTCAAGCTGTAACAAAAAATACTGTTTGTACTGGAATGAGTTTGCACCTTTTAAGTAGCTTATTCTCATTTGTTCAGAAAAAAAAAACAAAACTGCAAATAAGTTTAGTGAATGAATAGACTCTTTAACTGATGGTTCTCAAAAAGCTATCACAGTCAACAGTCACTTGATGTTTTGAGAAAAATACTGATTGTTGAGCTGGGCACCTAGAAGGAATCTTTGAATACCATTTGATACATTTATCAAATGTCTGTAAAAAAGTAAAATTCCTGCTAGGAAAATTTGAAGATGACTCAAAACATAGGTAAGATCAGTGCTCAAAAGTAGTATGTGGCTCTGATATCCAGTTGCATAATTTCATTTTGTTCAGCTTCACTAAGCCATTCATGTAGTAATGTTGAAATGGACATTATAACATCTCCCTATTTCAAAGAAGCGTTGTGAAAATAATTCCCGTGTGTTTTGTGAGGCATAACCTTTCTGTTGCTGCCAGCACAGAAAAAGGCACAAGTTCTTGGAGGACTTTGTCTTCCATGTCATATCTAGATTTGATACATTACTGTTACTCTGTGTGAACTTATGGGGTGTACACAAGCAACAAAGTAGAAGTATTAATTAACCTCCCTCTGCTATGTCTGTGTGAACTCCTTGAAGCCATGAGAAACAAATCAGGATTTACTTCTTTGCAAAATGACAACTGACAACTTCGGTGAACTTTTCAAGCAGGGCAGGGGGGAGGTTGACTATAATTACAAATAATAAAGGTTAGCATTTCACAGGATGTAGTGATTTTTCCTGACTAGAAGTAATATAGCTTCATTCCTGAGGAGCTAAATGAGGAAATAAATGTGATTTAGAGTGTAACTGGGATGTATAGAACCAGGTCGTGCTCTATTGGGCTAAGCCATCAAAAATTTCTCTAAAATTAAAATTATATTTATTTGTGGGGGAAAAAAAAACACCAAAAGAAACAAACCAAAACCAAAAACCCCCTGAAAATATTTTCCTTGTCCTGGTCATGCTGTGCAAGTATAAAGAAAGATAAATACCTCAGCAAAAATTAAAAATAAATACATTATAGTTTGAAAGATCTACCCAGTGCACTTGTTTTTTGTACAAGAACACTTCTTTTGAAACTGTGTGAAATGTAACATAAAGAATTAAAAAGCTCAAATGAAGGCTATCTCTGCAGCTGAAGGAGGCATTGTGGTTTGAGATCAACTATAAGATTTCTTTCATTTAATGACAGTTGTCTCCTAGAGTTTGTTAATATGAAAAGAATATGTGTATTAGTTGGGGTTTTTTCGCTCTTTAAATTTCTAGATCCATATGTAGATTCTTAGATGAAAGAACAAACAAATATAAGTGAGGCTAACTGGCAAACATGTAGTGTATTTCTTATTGAAACATATGTTATACTTGAAATAAAAAATATTTAATGGCTATTGTGATCTTGTTGCATGTCTTGATATTTTGTTTTCTTTTATTCTTTACTAGGTACTACTTACAGTGCTGTGGAATTCCACAGGGCTCCATTTTGTCAACCTTACTTTGCAGCTTATGCTATGGAGACATGGAAAACAAATTGCTCTGTGGAGTGCAGCAGGATGGGTAGGGATGCTTTGTTCTGTGCTCTGTTATAGTAATGCAGAATATGTAATATATGCATTAGTAATTTTGTCAGAAGTTTAACTTTCAATTTCAAGGATTTCCAACTCTTCATTAGGAGTGTGGTGCCCACAAACATCTTTGCAGCTTCAGTGAAACTGTGGTTATTTTGTGTGGCAATTTCCATTTTTGTCATAAGATTAGGAGGAAAAGTGCTGAAAAGAAGCTTTCCTATATCTTTGGTAGGAGAATTATTCCTACGAAGAGAACCATATTAGGGATGCTGTAGAGAGTCCGACAAGCTGCTTTTGTACCTCTAAGAAGTTTATGGTTCTGCCACGCTCATTCCCACATCATCTGTGGTCTTTTGACCTCAAACAAGATGCAATGTTTGTTACAGGCTTTCTGATACTCCAGAGTTCTGCCTGCGGGCTTTCCAATCCACTGTGTGTAAATCTTAACATTTTATCAAGGACGCAGCTCTATTGCAGACTTTTTATGAGGGATGTTGGTTCTTGTTTGAAGCCCTGTGTAAATCTTGGTAAATCTTCTCAGTCTTTGTGCCCTGCATGTGCTTGCTTCTTAGGAGCTTGATAGAAAGCTAACCTGATAAAAGCTTTACCTCTTTATTAGCTCTAAAAATATTGGGGTCCCTTTTCCCTCCATGTGAACTGGAGATAAAACTGAATCCCAGATCAGGGTATTTAGGCATGAACTAGACCCTGAAACCTATTTGTGTTCAGACATCTCCCTTCATTGCTGCAAATTCTATCCTAAGAAAGAAAAAAGAAACTGAGAATTGTGTAGGAATACTCCAGATAAGTGCATCTGTCTGGTATTTCTTCTTGGGAGGCTCACTGGGCAAATCTCAGAATTTTAAACATATCCCTACAAAACTAGTAGAGTTCTTACAGGCCCTGGGATTCTGTGATGAGTCTGAACAGTTGTCTATTGCTTTCAAAGGATATTGTTTATGAAACTGAAATTATGAAACTGATTTAGAGGAATGCACTCCTTAATGTAGCAGCTGGTTTTATGAAAAACAGATTTTAGAATGCTGCTTAGGTGCCTGTTGAATGATTTTGATAATTTCCTTTATCCTTTAAGTCAAAAGAATAATGTGGCTATTGACTTGGGTAGGCAAAGGTACAGCTGATCTGACCACAGTGATGACAATACTTTTGCTTTGAAGAGGAGACTTTACAAGATCATCTGCGGAGCTTCTGTGATCTGCTAGGCAGGATTTATCAGAAAAATATGGGCATGCTTGGGGTCTTAATTCTGTTGGAAAAAAAAAATTCCAGCCTTTATAGTGGTAGATGGCAGTATGTTTTACATTCAAGTTATAGCTTCATAAACAAGTTATTATATGGTAAACAAAGTTATTATATGGTAAACAAAGATAAAGAATTCCTTGTCTTATAGATTAAGATAATGCAAATTCTGCCTTGGAAAAGTGTGCAACTCTGCATCCAGGGGAGCTACTGTGGAATGGCTTGTGTGCTGTAAATTCCTTCATGTTTCATGTAGCCAGTCCCTTTACTTTCTTTTTTTTTTTTTTTTTAATTTATATGTAGGAAAGAAACAGAACTGATAATTTCTTTATGAGTCTGGATTTGGAGATCATATGGGCCTCTACCATCTTGTGAATTAAAATGGGCACATTGTTGCTCTAAAGAGTATGACAAAAATTTGAAAGGATTACATATGAAAAAATCTGATATCAGTTTCTTCTTGATTACAGAGTCCTAATACGTCTCATTGATGACTTTTTGCTGGTTACACCGCATTTATTGCAGGCAAGAACTTTTCTAAGGTATGCTATTAAAGACAGTCTTTAAAGTAATAAGCATTAACACCTTTTACATAATTCTTTTTAGTCTTTATACATGCTTACACATGTAGGTGTATTTGTTTTATGAGTTAACAGTCAAGGGCTATTTTGGAGTCCTTACTTTGTGTAAGCGTGGGCTTGGGAAGATCCTAATAGCTACATTCTTGATAGCCAGCTAACAATCTGTTGCAGCTCAGATGGTAGGGGATTCCTGTTGAAGTTTGAATTATGGACCTACCTACTGACACTGATGAAGCTTCCAGCAAAAATTAGTAGTGCACTAGTGACCAAAGCAGCTGACAGGTGTCTTTTAAGACCAGTTTCCCTCAAATTTTGAAGATATCTTATTTATATTCTTAAAATGTTTTTATTGAGCAGTTGTGCTGCTACTTTCTGTTCCCTGGGAAAGAGTGCAACTTTTGTCTGATCCAATATTGCTAAGAATTTTCTGGTCATTAACATTCCATGATGAGTATCTGAAGATACCAATAGCATGGCAGCATGCAGTTCACACAGAAGTTTTAAACCAGTAATTCTGTAGAGTGCTTCAGAACTACCTTTTCTTTTAAAATTCTTTTAAATTTCTTTAAAATTTCTTTTAAAACCCCAAAGAGGTTCCTGCTTACCGTAGGTAGGAGTGTACAGTCAGTCCAAGGAGAGTTCTGCTGATGCCAAAGCCAGTTTAATGGATCCAAAGGACAGGTCTTGAAGCTTAGGATCTGCAAAGCAGTCAGTTGCATCATGCTTTTCAATAGTGAGAAAGATGCAGCTCTCTTGTGAACCTGAAATGTGATGGAGGAATCAGTTAAGTACAGATTGAAGTATAAATTGTATGAAATAGTGGACAATGTACTTTTAAGACTTCATTTATCCTCATTTCCTTATCAGAACAGAAAGAAATTTCTAGGGATCTGTGGGTTTGCAGTTCTGGAAATGATAAACTGAACTAACAGGCGAGGGGTACCTCAAGCTAATAATCTTTATAGCATGTTTTCAGCACAATGTCATTTGCAGTAGCATTGCAGATGTTGTCCTACTTGCCCTTTGAAGTTACCTACATCTTTGTTCTATATCAACTTCTGCACCATCTGTGTTATTTTCTGTAGAGAAGCAGCCTCTTCTGTGAGAGTTTTCCAGAACTGCTTACAGATCCTCTGAACTCTATGCCACAAATGGAGTAGTAACAGTTTTGTCTAGTGTAGTATTGCAACATGGGGACTCAATAAATTAATTTTGAGGAGACAGCATTATAACTATGGCACCCCAAGAAGAAGAGCCTACCTCTTCCTCTCACTCTTTAAAAGGATGAAGCCTGCACATAAGTACATTGCCAAGTAAGACAAATTACTGCTTGTCTATGACACCACTAATCCAACAGCGGTAGATAATCAGCAGGCATTCTGCCAATGAAAACATCCTTAGGGGAAACTTTCTCCACTAAGTTCAAAACCTGTCATCAAATAAATGAGGTTACTGTTATATGGGTTCTCTTGTTTTGTTAACTTTCAAAAGCAATAACTCTTATCTGTCTTTTTCCAGCGATTATGATCTCAGTGGTTTCTGTGAGTGTGGTTTATGCAGTTTGTCTCAAATGTTTCATGGCTGAAGTGCTTAATTTGCATTAATCTGTGAAATTTGCATTAATCTGTGAAATTTCTTCTCCATTATCCTAAAGTTTATTTTATGTATGCATTTACCTCTAATATCCTCACTTTTGTTTATTTCTAGCTGTGTTCCTTAACCTAGAGTTAACCTAAAGATTCCCTTTATTCTTTGATTTCTGACCTTTTCTGCTAGATCTTGTTTGCTTTTGTGGGGGGAGTTAGGCTAACTGTTTGTGTCTGTTTTAGGACTCTAGCAACAGGTATTCCTGAGTATGGCTTTTTAATAAACCCAAATAAGACAGTCGTGAATTTTCCTGTTGATGATATCCCAGGATGTTCCAAATTTAAACAGCTGCCAAATTGTCGTTTGATCCCGTGGTGTGGTTTATTATTAGATATACAGACACTTGAGGTTTACTGCGATTACTCCAGGTAAATAGAGTTGTAAACTCCAGTGTCAGCTTTACAGTGTATTGTACATAGTGTGAGAGGCAAAAGGGTGTCTTGTGAATGGTGTAATTGAATTAACTGCAAAATATATTTTACAATTCTGATTCTTATACAGTAATCTAAACACTTTAGTCTGTTGTGCAGCTTGCTGTTTTCTTCATTCCACCCTGGTGGAATGTGCATATCATTAACACCATCAAATGTGGCTAACTCACTAGCAATCAGAAGGCATATACCACATGATGGCCTCATGGTTCTGAAAAAGTTTATTCAGTCACCTCAGTTCAGCTTCTGTCACCACTATGCACTGTGTTGCACTTGATGTCATATAACTACATTTATAGTTTTGAAATTATTATTTTTTGTACCTTCCTAAAAGAAACAGGAAGTATTATGCTTCAGATAGGGATTGGGATTGCTACAGATTGGGACTAATTTGGTATAGACTGGAGGGACTAGTAATCCTTTCAACATCAGAGGTGTTCCCTTCAGATGGTAGTGTAGGGGAGAGATAACTTCTTGACTATCTACACAAAACAGCTCAAAGTGGGATAGAACTCAAGACAGGACAATGTATCCTACTAAAAAGCTCTGTAGACCCTTCACTTGGACTACTAGAGGTGGCATTAGACATTTGCTAAAGATTGAAAAGAAAGAACTGTTTAAACTCAAGCATAATATTGCTGCCTTACTGACCATTTTTAGTATAAACAGCGCTTCATGCATTTAAGTGGGAAACTAGGAGGATGTTTTCCACCAACTGAATGGTAAAGTTCTTCAGTGGCCTTCCTAAACAGAAAAGCTTGGTCAGTTTAGGAAAGGAATTTGTATGACCTGATTTTCCATAGCAAAGGACTAAAACCAACAGCCAAAGAGATTTATTCACTAGCTGTATTTCTGAAAGAAACAGTTTATGTTGATAAATGGCATCGGTGCTACTGGTCTTGGAGACACTAATCAGAATCATAAAATCATAGAATTGTTTATGTTGGAAAAGACCTTTAAGATCATCAAATCCAACCATTAACCCAGGACTGCCAAGTCCACCATGGTGTTTGTTACAAGGACTACCTTGCTTCTGATAAGCTTGACTTAAGTAACTGGAACACTGGTATTGTTCCAGCAACTAAGATGGCGTCAAGCCTAAGATCCTGCATTGCATGGATCATAGATTATAACCTTATTGTCACTGGAGTAATTACTAATGCTCTGGCTAGACTATGTGTTTTAGAAATACATTTCATTTGTGTTTAAGGTTATTGGTTTGGCTTTTTTTTTATCAGGGTGAGTTATTCAGCACTGAAACTGTTCCTTAGGTAATACCCTTAAAGCCACAATGTCTAGTCTTTTTCAACATTGCATTTAGTTATGGCCATCTTTTAGCTACTGGCTCGTTGATTAGCAGGAATCTCTGTAACGTGAAAAGTTTAATGAGGCTTACTTTACGGAATTTAATATAGTCTATTAGCCCATGGAGTTTAACTACTTTTTTTTCTTTTTTTTTCCAGTTACACCTTTACTTCTATCAGATCAAGTCTTTCCTTCAATTCAAGTAGAACAGCTGGGAAAAACATGAAATACAAACTGATTGCAGTCCTCAAACTGAAATGTCATAGTTTATTTCTTGATTTACAGGTGAGAATATGAAAATGGATGTTTGGAAATATTGTGATTATGGATGAAGAGCATTAAAACTGCTTTGAGTTGTAACATAAAGAGTTTATTTTAAAAGGTAATTCGTATAATTTGGGACTGTTGACATCAACTATATTGTAGGGTCTTCCAGAACTGAGCCTGCTAACTTAGTTGCATAAAAGAAATTTTTGAAGTTTAGCATAAAACGTTTTTTATCTAGATCTTCAACAAATCCTATTATGACACTAAAATATTCTTAAGGCTCTGTTTCTGTTCTGTTCTAGATCAACAGCCTTAGAACAGTTCTCATTAACATCTACAAGATATTTTTACTTCAGGCTTACAGGTAAGTCACGGTCTTCTGTACTAACTGTCAATATTTCATTACTCTTTCTTAACACACGGAGGAGCTATGGATTAGAAAAAAGTGTGTCATATAAATTGCAGTGTATATATGTGTGTAATGTGTGCATTAGTAAATATCTGTAGCAAGTCAAGTTATTCTTGTTTCAACACTTCTTAAGTAAAAGGATTAGGATTAGGATACAGGATTATTTGATGTGTGTGTTTAAGTGATATTTCACTAAGTTGATTTTTGATGTCTCTTGGTATTGACAACTGAATTCAAGAAAACCAGTTTGTTTTGCTTCAGGAGTATGACAGGAAGCCTTATTAACCATTTTATATTTAGACCAGTTAAATATTAATCAGTTTATATTTAGAACTTTGTATCTATTAAATTCATATAGAACTTTGGCCAGTATAACTAGGTAAAGTGAGGTTTCATTCTACCAAGTTAACTGCAGTTTCTTACCTGCTGATAATGTCTTAACTGCTCCTTAGCTGGTAGTATCTTGGTCTCCGTGAGCTGGTCTTGATCAGCAGAGGAAATGAATGTTTTAAACAAAGATAAGGGAGAGAAATTAAAACTGATAAGCAGGTTGGGAGAAAATACTAAACTCTGTGCATTGAAAACTTTGAATGATTGGCAGCAGAAAGTAATTTTTTTTGTTGTTTTAACATCTTTTGCTAGGCTCATACTTGTTAGGAAGTGACATTTTAGTTTTGTTCTTAAAATCATCTTGGTCTATATTAAAACTGTATTCTTTGTCCAAGAAGTGTAATTGGGTTTGTCTAGTACAGCACTGATGTGTCAAACTTTTGTGTTGAGTGACTTATAGTTTTTCTCTGATGTTGGATATGATTACTTAGTTACTTCTATATGCTTTTAGGGTAATATTCTAACAATGGTCTTTATATCTTATTTTAAAAACTGTCTACAGCTGCATGTCAGGTTAATTCAGCCAGAGACCTCAATGCAGCTTTAACTATTTGAAAATGTCAGAATTTTTTAAAGTGATTGCAATACACTAATTTAATGAACAAGTATATACATTGTTGAATAATTAAAAGTCAGCATTGTAATTGGCTATATTCACATAAGCAGGATTATAATGCCAGAATCTGAAGGAAAAAAAGGGGGGAAAAAAAGTCAGCAGTTTTAAAGTATTTTCAAACAGGTGTAAAGAGGCATATGATACAAATAATTTCTGTAGAATTGGCTTCCAAATACACAAACTAGGGAGTATCCTGGTCTCTGGAACACCACATCATTTGGAACTCTGTTTTCCTGTATACCTGAACAGAATTTGTTGTGGAATTTTCCTTTGTTTTTATTTCCTCTCAAACTCTTTCATGTGGGTGTTGTCTGGTGGCATGGTCTGTGATATGGAATTGGTGACGATGTGTAGTTTATTTTTCCCTGTGCACAAGACAGTTGTTGTCCTCAGAAGAGAATTCTATTACCAAGGCAGATGGCTTCAAGATCTTCTTTCAGCATAAAACCTAGAAACAAATATCCTGTGTGTCTGACACTCCAGAAATGTGTATATCTGGGAGAGGTGTCATACGGTAACAGTGTTGATATAGCTAAAGACTGTTGGGTGCTTTTAAATGTTGTATAGTGCCTAAGGTATGTAATCATAGTTGCACTTGAAATTGCAAATGACTTTTGATTAAATAGGCTGGTTTTTGTGAACAGGTTCCATGCCTGTGTTCTCCAACTTCCATTCAACCAGCAAGTTAGAAAAAATCCTTATTTCTTCCTAAGGATCATCTCTGAGACTGCGTCATGCTGCTATGCTATCCTGAAAGCAAAAAATGCAGGTATAGGTTGTTAATGACAATGAAGTAGTTGGTTTTGGGGGTTTTTTTTGGACAAATGAAGCATCTTGAATATGCAGTCTGATATTGTAATTTTTAGATAAAGATCAGGAATGAAAAATATGGAGTGTATGATAAGAATCACAGTCCATTTTTCTTCTTAAACTCAGTTTTCTGAAGATTGAGATTCAGGCTTTAGTTTTTAGTTTTCTGCTGGCCTAAGAGCAGTATCATTGACTAAATAGATCTTTAGTAAAAAGTCTTGAAGTAGTTTTATAGAAAAAGAGGAGAGATCAGACATTCTTCCTGATGCTCATCATTTTCAGTGACATTATTTTCCTGTTCTGTCTCTAGGGATTGCTTTAGATAACAAAGGTGCATCTGACATGTTCCCTTCTGAGGCAGCAGAATGGCTCTGCTACCATGCCTTCATTGTCAAACTGTCAAATCACAAAGTTGTTTACAAATGCCTGCTAAAGCCCTTAAAAATCTGTAAGTATTCAACTATTTTTACAGTTTTATCTAAGGTTAATTTTAATAAATATTGGCAAGTAATGGATTTTTCAAGTTTTCTCATCATAAAATGTTGTTATAAAAGGTACATTAATATGTTTTCTGATTTTAATCAAATTTACTAAGGATAAGTTGGCAAATTAAAATGGTGTGTTTTTCAGCACTATATGTTCTAGAGCCTTGTCCTTACAGGACAATTCTTGATGTTTGGCACTTAGTAAGTTTGTACAGTTCAGAAGGCTTAATAAGATAGGGGTAATCATATAAGCATTCTCAGCAGGTGTAACTAAATGAAATATAAAAGCTCACGGTCCTATTTTTAAAAATATAGATTAACTGGCAACTAAATAAGCTCCTCCGACAATTTAAACTCTTACCAAAAAAAGTGTCACTGGGTCACTTTGAAACAGAAGCACTGGCTGCACTTCATGTGCTGTATTCTTACAGAGTCGTGGTGTTGGCATACCTCTGACACTTCTACTTGGTGAAAGAAGCTGCCTGTGTCCCTGGCTTCTGGGGAGCTCTCTCCTTAAGCAGCTGTGTGGTCTGTCCGTTGGCCAGCCACAGAAATAATAGAATTTTCAGTTCTAAGATGCTAAAGGTGAACAGCAGGAGGTTTTCCTGAAGCAGTTTGTACTGTTGATGAATCTAGCTGTGCTGAAGGCCAGACTCTCAATGCTGACTCTGTAGTTTGCACTCTGAATGAGTCATTGCTTGGGCAGTTTTATTATACAATACTGAGAAATTCTTCAGTCTCATTCCAGAATAACATCTATTTGATTTGAAATGTATCATAAGCTTACTTTGATACCTGTACTGAGGACCAGTGCCCCCAAAAGAGAGCAGTTCTCCTTTTGAAAGGAAGCATTTTCTTCCCAGATCAAAGGCTTGCAGCAATGCCTGAGTGCACAGTCTGATTTTTGGTGGTGCAGTGTGAATGTATCAAGATGTCACTTAGACAGGAACAGACTGATGATTGGGATTCTACCAGCCATGTTCTTGACAGCTATGGACTTTCTGTGTGGAGCAGAACTCCAGCAACCTCTCCCAGAGAAGCTCCTTCTCTGAGTTACTCAATGACGCCAAAACCAGAGGCCCCATGTCTGCTCACTGCTGTGGAGAAGTACCGGGAGTGGCTGCTTGCTTCACTTGGAGAGGGCGGGAACTGAAAAACTAAGCAGGGAATGCAATAGTCATACCCTGTAGGACAGTGGCTTCTATGGGACCTGCCTCACTTCTCTAGGATCCATATAGAGCACATTTGAGTTTTCATTTTTAATGATGAATGTTTTGCTCTTGGGATCTTTGGCTGGCAGACCACAATACAAGCCGAAGCTCCCTCATCATTCTCTGTGCATGCTTTGCTATTGAATCTGATAGTACCTTCAGGGTGAAGGCACAGCCCCAGGCAGCGTTATTGCTCAGCAGAACCTTGTCTTCCATGGCTGCGTGCATCTGCCATAAAAGTGGTTTCTGCCCTCCACAGAACCCCTCCATCACAAGTGGCAGGGAAAATGGACTGGGAAGTAAGGTGCAGTTTCCCTAGTGTGAATAGTGATTGTCACTAGGCTCCTTCTGCTGTACCCATACAGCTGCTTGCCTAAGTGCAGTACTGGCCTGAAACTTGCATGTGGTCCAAGCCTGTGTGCACAGTTTCTAACCCAAGAATGGAAAGAGCGAAGGCTGACCATCTATCGGTTGGCTTCTCTGGCAGTGAGAATTGCCCTTGAGAAATGGAATCATCTTTCTTCCTAAATGCCTGGAAAAGCCTATTAACATTCTATTGCTGAGTATTGTGGAGGTGGAGCAGGAGAAGTCCAAAGGTCAGTAGAAAGTTAGTGGTGATGTTTTCTTGAAAAGAGTAATTTCCAGCTATTCTTTCATAAATCTTACCTTATCTAAGGCAGAATCTGTTCTTCACATCCACAGTGTCAAGACAACCCAGTCTTTTTATCTACAGGGCCCGGTTTCTTTTGTAAATCTCTGAGACTTCAGGTAAACTGCTGAAAGGTCAAGGGTTTAGAGATCTTTGCTTCATAGCTACCTAAACAATTAGCAGGCATTGACTCATTCTACTATCAAAGTAAGACAAAAATTTTTGTCTTACTTCTGGAAATCAGGTAGCACATGTAGATGTTGGAATAGTCATGACAGGGAAGTCACTGACTCAGGTGTGATCCTGTAAAGTTAGCTCAGTATCTCTATACGGTAGAGTAATCTGTAGCACAGGATAACCAAGACTGGTAATAGCCCCTGTGTTGACTTAACAGCTACATTTTTTTGTTGTCATTTTTGAGTTTGTATTGACTGTATAAAACCTATTACCCTTGTAAGATCATGTTGTTGATAGTAATTTTTATAAACATGGAGGGTTTTGTGTCCCTACACATGCCTTTCCATTACTCTCCACAGGAAATCATACCAAGCTCATAGGTTTTGGAGAGGAGGTTCTTCCCCCAATTCCCAAACCTGTTAAATATCAGCTTCAGGGGCTTGTCAGTACGAGTTGTCATCATTCTTCAGAGTTAAGTATTTAAAACATAGTTACTGTTTAACATCTCTCCTATTATTACCAGCAGGGAAAGGAGCAAGAGTCTTTCTTTATCATGATAAGATATAAATACATCATCTGTGTCCTTTCCAAGTACAGGACAAATGTTTACTGAGCACTTCTACCTTTCTGCACAATTGACAATTTTGCTGACTCTGTTTAGGTGACAGACTTAAACTGTTGCTAGGATTTTACGTGTTCCTCCTAATCTTTAAAAAGTCCTTTTTACTGCCTGTAATTCTGTTGATGGGACATTCACTGACCTTCTGTGTTTCAAACTGTTATGTTCTCCTATAAAAAATTAATTCCTGATAATCTCATTTAGTCTTCAGTATTTTCCACCATAAGGGTGGCTTTCCAGTTAGCCTCTCTTCTCCTGCATGGAAACATAGCAGGGAGAATTGCTGTTTCCAGTCTTATAGCAAAAGGTACATTTTCCACGTGATTTTATTTTTTTTAATCTTTTTTTGCATATGTCAGTTCCAGGCATAGGCTACTTTGATGACATATCTGAAAGCAGAGGGAAAAAGAAACAGTTTGGGAATACTTTTCTGCGACAGATAAGGACCCGTCTCTTGTCCTTAGCATTGTTTAAGATAGGGTCTTTCAAAGTAACTGTGGCTTGACAGAAGGCCTTTTTTGGTGGAAAAAGTTATTGAATAAAGTGTCTTATACTTTTCAAAAATATTTAATGAAGTTCTCAAATCCAAACAAATAGTGTTACAAGAAATGAAAGTAGGAGGAATTTGCTCCTTGGTTTTCTTTGTTAATATTTTCATGTACAATTTTGAACCTTTTTATTTATTAGCCTTATTTAAAGGTAGAAGAGTGGTAACATTTTATTTCAGCTTTTTATATCCCCGTATTCCAGATGTTTCAACTTTTTAATTGGATTTAGCTATTATTGATTTCATTACTTCATTAGTATTTTCCCTAAACGACAATTGATAGTTACTTGCACTTATAATGAATTGTTTCTGATATTTGGTAGGTAAGATGCAACTATTCAGGAAGATCTCAAAGGATACTATGGCACTACTGAAGACAGTGACAGAACCGTCTCTTTGTCAAGATTTCAAAGCTATCCTGGACTAACTGATTGATATTTATTTTATAATTTTTTCAGGTTTGAAAATAAATGCTATGCCTTTAGGTGACTTTTCTCTCTAGTTTGTTTTGATAGAGTGGACCAAAATCAACTTTGTTCAGAAGTTCGGATACCATACAAGGACTTGAAAAGAATACACAATTTTGTTAATACCTTCTTGTTTGTGGTTTTTTTGTTGTTGGCATTTTTGTTTAAATTCACAGGCTATTTGAAGTTATTTACTTGGTTTCATTCAGTGATTCCCATCCTCTTGATGAAGGAATTATTAAACTATGTTCTGTACAAAATTATCTACTTTCATGTTTCAGTGGGTTGTTTTGAAGGACTGTTCTTTACTTCTCTGTGTTGCAGACTATTTTATAATAAAGTGCCTGGTTAATTGCAATAACACATACTTGTTTCCGGTGCCTTTATTTTATAGTAGTCTTTAATATTCTGCCCAGCTGGGTTATGTCATGAGAAACAGTTACCTTCACAGGGCAAGTACATTCCATGGCATTACCTAGCAAGATGCACAGGATGGAAATTTTATGCTTTGGAGGTCACAGCTATTATATGATAAAATTTCACTGTCCAGACTGGATTTTTTTAGTGCACGTTTTATATATTTTGAATCCTTGGTGATATTTTTAATACAGTGTTATATGGAACAATGCTGGTGCATTTATACCTACAAAACAGAAGATCTTGATTAGAAAATATACCACATATATTGCTCTTCTGTTTGCATTTACTGTTTTTTAGTTAGGTTTATCTTTGCCTCTATAAAAAAAAACTTTTTACAAGGACATATAGTGATAGGACAAGGGGGATGGCTTTAAACTGAAAGAGAGTAGGTTTACATTAGATATAAGGAGGAAATTCTTTACTGTGAGAGGGATGAGACACTGGAACAGGTTGCCCCAAGAAGTCATGGAAGTCTCATGCCTGGCAGACTACCACCACACAGGGACTGGTAACACAGCTCCTAGAAGCTGATTTACCGTATTGCAATCTCTCCATTAATATCACAACTCAGTTCAAAACATACAGTCCATACAGGTTTGTTTTTTTCCTTCTAAAAAGTGGCACTGTTAAAATAAAAATAAATTTTAAAAAAGGCATAGAATAGTTGTTCCTACTAGAGATGAAGAAAAACCCAGTTGCTTCTCAGCCAGCAGCTCAAACAGGTCTGCAGTGATACTGGTGTGAGGGAGCACTATCATGGACAACATCGTGTAAGAGAGGCCTGGCCTGGCAGGAAGCTTTATTTGATTGGATCATGGGGCAGGAAGAGACAGCAAGATGCTCCAACGTGAAGAACGGAGGGAATGTAAACTTCACTGATGGCTTGGATTAGAACATATTTTCTCTGTATCACAATGGATACTGTGAGTGCAAACTGCTGATGTGGTCTCAGTTGAAGGTGCAATTTTATAAAAATGAATAAAGTATAATGACTGCAATTCCCTGAGCTGATGTTTGCCTTTACCTGTAATTACTGGCTGAGTTGTTAGTTTTGAACAGTAACGGCTGTTTCTGAAGGCTGTTTGTAAACAGATACAAATACAATGCAGAAATCACAAGAGAAGACTATTTCATTTAAAATATCCTCCACTCAAGAAGGCAAGTGGAAGTAAAGCTGAAACTAGTATGTGTTTTAGCAAATGGAGAATTTGGATATTTGAAGAAAAGCTGGCAGTCTCTACTGGAAACTCAAACTTGCCGCGGTGGCTCATGATAATTGGAAAAACAGTACTATGAGCATACATGTAAGGAATAGATTAACCATAGCAAGGGAATGCATTTGTTGCTCTAAAATTAGATGTTTATACTGTTGGGAAGGTAGAAATATTGCATAAAGCTACTTCTGCACAGAACTGTTCTAAGAGAAGTAGTGCCGTATGTTATGGTGGTAAAATATGTTCTACTTAATTGGTAGCAAGACAGTGCGTTAAACAGCAACTGCTGACAGGAAGTGTTTGGGTGGATTGAATAACTTGAATCTGGAAATATTAAATGAATTAGCTTAGGAGGGTTCTGAATCTGTAATGTGGATTTTCAGCAATCATTGGACAGCTGGGAAAATTGCAAAAGATTTGAGGGTTGGAGTGAAGGTTAAGGTTGTCTCAGCATTTAAGAGAAGGTAAGTAGAGAGAAGTAAGCCACTCAATGTAAGTGAGCTTTCTGGAGAGTTTATGTGGGGAGGAAGAGGGGTAGGGCTGAACATTGTTTCCTAATGTGTGTGCAGGGCTGGAAGGGAGGAATTTGACAGAAGTCCCACTGGAAGATATTGTAGTATCTGGAGGCATTCATCAAACACATCCTTCTCCCCACTGCTTCCTTTTAGGAGGGAATTATGGACTGTGAATCTCAATTTGAGGTAGGTATCAAGTTTTCCAAGTTAGGAAACTGCCTGTGTTCCAGAAGGAATATGCTTTTCTCTTTGCATCTTTCCTCTATTTATTGTATTGTGATAATTTGGATGTATCCTTATTCATAGTGCTGTTGCAATGCTCCTTTTGATGCTTTTTCCTTTAAGAGGCAGTTGAGCTCCTTGTCTTAGGGATTTGGATTCTGCTTAAGGCTGAACATCACAATGCCTGAGCCTGTGTCCTTTATTAATTTACCCCCAAAGAATCCAGTCTGTCCTTACAGCCTAGACAATTCTAGAAAAGTCTTGTCTGTCAGAACGGTATGAGTTCACTACGGAGTATTATAGCAAAGATTTGTTGGGATATGGAGATAAAAAATTCGAAGAGGAGTGAGCAGAAGTAGAAAGCATGTAGTGTGTAAGACTTCCAAACATTCAGTTACATATTTGCATGCACATCCTTCCCCAAGTAACAGTCAGTCACGCAATTCAAGTGAAAATAGTACTTATAAGATGCTGTACTTCACATGAATAGGAAGGGGAAGGTTGTAGCACTGATTTTACTGGAGTAAGGCTACAGTTTTGGCATAGGAATTTGGGTAGAGGTCACATCAGAAGGGTGCTGACAACAGAAACACAGTGTTCATGTGAGAGTTGCTCAACACGTTTTCTACATGCCTCCTGCATCTAAACAGTAACTTCAGATAGTGTGTTTCCCTGCTATCATTTGTAGTTGCTGGGGCTGAAAATTGTCTTCCCCCTGAGTCCTGTCCTAGGCTGAACTGCATGTCCAGTGACCCACAAAGTCTCCCTTCTCCTGAATGGGAAGGGGCAGCTCAAAAGTCTACAAGTCTATGAGTGCATCACCAGTGATGCAAAATGGATTTGTAGACTTGAAAGTCTTGTGTATGTAGTTTAATTATTTTCTCATCTTGTGTCTGCATTGATTGAATGTGTTTTTGTGTAACAACAGAACTCTGACCAGATACTTAAACCTGCTGCATATACTTGCATATGTGATTTTAATGAACATCTACCCATCTGTAGTCAGAGACATGAATATAAAGTATATGCTTTAGTTAGTAAAAAAATCTAATTTATGTATTCACAGGTTTTATACAAATACATGCACAAAATTTAATTTATTTTTTGTTATTCATTCTTTTTGGAAGCATTTTTTACTCATAACATTTCAAATTTTATTTACGACAGGCAGAGTAGCGATTTAGATCTTCCATGTCATTGTCAAAAGCTTTACAGTGCATAGGTGCAGAACATCAAGAACCCTGCTTAGGCCTTTGTGACTTGTGAGGTTTCTGTTGACAGAAGCTGTGTTTCCGTGCTGGGATACCTGCCCCTCTATTGACTTGAAAGGCTGGGGCTGTTGTCAGGCTACCATGGGGAATTGCTGGACATTCTCATGCAGACCATTGGCCAAGTCCATGGCTCTCAGAAATAAAAACATGCATAGCCCAGGCACTTAACCATTTTGCAGGTGATACTGCTCATAGGGGAAGAGCCAGGAGGCTCTGGCCTGGCAACTGCTGTGCACACAGACTGTTTACCCTGTGCATTTCTTTCTAGCAGGCAGAGTCACGGTGTGCTTTTCATCATTTGGTGTAGACTGATTGGATGCCACTGTTTCTATTCCCATCACTGCTTCAGGAGAATCTTACTGTCCAGGCCAGTTCACAGAATCATAGAATCATTAAGGTTGGAAAAGACTTCCAAAATCATCAAGTCCAACCTTAAGTTGGAGGGAGAGGGCATGATTTCTATCTTGCAGCCTAATTTTTTTTAGTTTTTTTCTTTTTTTTAGATTTAATATCCCCTTCACACAGCTGCTGCAGCAGCAACCTCCTGTGCATAAAAAGGGTTAAAGCAATGGGGCTGGTACTAGGTCAGTGTGCAGGATTTAGGACTGGATGCAGGAGGGACAATTTTATTAATGTAACTGCAGTGCAATAGGTTGAAATTAAAGGAAACATAGCACTACTGTTTATAGAGTAATAGTGATTGGCTGTAAGTGTATGAACTGCATATACCAGGTTGGTTGATGATACCCGTATGACAGCTCATCATGCCTAACAAAGGCTTATTTTTGCTTGCAGAGAGATACAATGGGTATTTATTCTTTTGGATGAGAAAAGTTGCTATTAGCCCCCTGACATGAAAATACTTCTGGTGATACAAGGCTTGTGTCCTTGCTTCTGCACTTTTGTTTGATCAGGTGGAAGAATGCTACCAGAGGTACACACATGCAGGGAAGGGCAGCTAACATCACACAGATTGCCTGTACCCAAGGTGGATAAACTTTCTCCTCTTTCATGGGGAAGCTTTCCTATGGAGACAAAAAAAAACAAGAGAAAGAAATAATTGGTAGGTACACTTACATTTGCATTTTCTCACACTGTTTTAGTAAGGATAGCAACATTTTACTCTTGGTCAACAATAGCACTCAGTGGCCGTGTCCTCTGTAAACCCTTCTTTTGAGTCTAAAGATGGCTGTAAGTATTTTACGGTTTCAAAAATTTATAGCTGTAATTCTGACACATTACTAGGGATACAAGGATGGCCCAAAGAGTTATCAAACCTTCACCCTCTCTTGATTAAAGTCTGTTTATTCGTGTTAATATTCAAAGCTTATCTGGTGTCAGTAATGACTGAGCAAGTTCTTTGTCAAACAGGCAAGATTTCTGTCAGAGATTTTGAGGGAATGATGGTAAAGCAATTTCTGCAAGTCTGTGGCTGTGGGTTTTATTTGGAATTATACATACTTAATGGCATTTGGAGGAGATACTGATCCTGTGTAATCCTCATACAGTTCAGGACCAGAATCAATCTCCAAACCCCTACACAGGTAATATTTGAGAGGGATCCAAGAAACTGCAGGTGGCATGAGACAGTAACACCCAGATCAATTGTTCTGAGCATTGTCATGTCTTTGTTGCTGAATTAACCAACACTATTCTCAGACCACTGCTCCCTTCCTGTCTGCCTGTCAGAAGTACACGTTCATATATACTTCAGGACCCCAGTGATGTTGGTAGTTCTCACTGAGAAATGTTTTCATCCCTGACATCCTTTTCGCAGTTCTGCTCATGCATTTGTTCTACCTCTGAATCCTGTATAGGTATGGAAAGTCTGAGAGACATTTCACTTCAACACTTCTCAGCATTACACACACCTATAACAAATATGGAGCACATAGTATGTGGGACACCTCAAGAAGAGACACATTTTAGTATGTGTAACCTCTTTGCATACTGAAGCCTTCTCATTCTGAGCACTACATCACTTCAGGCTGCATTCCATAGGTAAGCAGTAGATAGCAATGATTTTAAAGGATCTGGTAAGGGAGAAAAATAGATAATTCTTGCTTTTATTAGAGGTTCTGAAAATATTTGGGAACATACATATTTAGGGTTCCAGGCTGTGTAGCTTGGCGGCCTCAGCATCTGAAGAGTAACAAAGGCCGTGAAGACAATTAGCAGGAGCAGAGGGCTGATAAACCTCCATGTGATTTGCCAATAGAGATTGAGTTTTCGACCAGTCATCCATTTCACATCTTTACTGAACCTTGTAAAAGAGGGCATGGTTATGATGATGTCAGATCTAGAGTGGTAACAGTTTCACGTTTTATAATTTTCTGTAAGTTTTAAACAGACGGTACAGCACCCTAAATCGTTTCTATTCCATACCATTCTTTAATAACTCACTATTGACTTGAGTAAATAATAACATCAATGAAGCGGGTCTTTATTGATCCCTACCAGAGATCAATGACCAGTTTGCACTGTCAGTTTACATTACTAGAGCACCTAGTCTAAGGTTTCTAAGTATAAATAAATTATAATATTTCAGCAGTTCTGTAGACTATTCAAATATTTAAAATAAAAAGGCAAAATGATCAAGGGAACAAACAGCATGTTAGGAAGAAGTCTGAATTAACCAGCACCAAATCAAATCAGGTCAGGGACAAAATTACTGCAACCTGAGTAGTATTTATGTCTTATGAAAAAAAAAATTCCGTCTGTTTCCAGCATACCTTTTAATTTTGTAGACATACACAACTCCAATTACTTCAAAGAAAGCAATGACTAGAAGAGGCACTGAGGCTGCATATCTGTCAAAAATGTCAATCCAGTAACTCCCTGAACCCAGTGTAAAACACAGAGCAATGAGGAAGCTAATTAGACATATTATACCTGAAGAAAAAAAGATATCTTTGTTACTGGATTATTGAACTTGGTAAGTATATTTTTGTTCTAAATTATTTTTGCTCTTGTTCTAGTAATTTTTATTCTCTCTCCTTCTATGGAGCTACAACAAGCTATTTTTACCTTACAGGAGTTAATATCACTTCCCAAATTCAGTTTTCCCTTGTATGTTCGCCAAGAGGCACGATTGTTGCAGGAGGAATGCACTTGTGTGACTCGGAACATCCTCCTGTTGTTAATCCTTTAGAAAGCCTGGGCTGTGCTATGCTGTTGCCCAGTGTTAATTTTTGGCTGATGCAGTGAGTTTCAAGTGCCCTCATTTCCATGCAGTCATAGGATCAAAGCACAGGCAGCTGTCACCTCAGAAGTGTAAAGACTCCCTGAATTTCTGTCCCCCATTTCCTCAAAGAGCCCAGAGCTACAAAGGTGTATGTCCCTTATGTTCCAGGGTGTATGGTTTGGGTTTCAGCACACTCTTCTGTACAGTCAGTTCTGCTTTAGCAAGATTTAGATTTGTGGTAATTGTGCAAAAAGTGGGAAGGAGGGAAAGTGTTGCTGGACGCAGACAGGGCTGCACATCAGTTTGTATGTCTTCCTAATGTGTTATTAATTTCTTCTGGCTCTGAGATGGCCTTTGGTTCAATTCTGTAAAAGGTTGGCTCCAGACATTTTTTTTAATTTTACTTAAGGGAGTTCACAATTGGAAAATCAATTTCAAACTAATATGGTTACCTCATCAGGTTGTGAATAAATTTGTTTCTGCATAAAAAGTTGTAAAATGAAGGATATAATTTAAATGCCACAGGAAAACTCTAAAAAAGGCATGACAGCAGTATTTCCCATGAGAATTTAAAAGGGCATATTGTGAAAGTATTAATCCATTATTTCAAACTTCCAGAAATTTTTCTGGACCAGTTTCACAGTAGAATCTCTCAGACTCTCATCAAGCCTTCTTAAGGAGTAGGTTGGGTTCAGTACCCGCCTCTGGTTGAAAAGATCCCAGTTGTGGTGCAAGAACAGGATCACACACACTAGTTCCTCATTTTCCAAGTGGTAATTTTCTACTCTGGCATGTTTACAGTAAATGTGAAACAATCTGTAGCATTATAAACCTGAATGAGGGGTGAATGACCTCTCCTACAATTGTGACAGAAGTTCACGTGCAGGTGGTTATTGCAGACCAGCTGATGGCACTGGATGCCTTAAAGTGATTTGTATTGGTGCCAAAGGCTTAAGGGAAGATAAGGCTCTTCCTGACGTCTACAGCAGTTCAGAGTGAACTTGACTCCAGGAATAACAATTTAGTGAGCTTTCTCAGACTGAAACGGCTACCTTGCAAACTCAAGAAAAAAAATGGCAAAGACAATATAATACTGTCAACCTGACAGCTTCTACCATAACTGCTACCTCATCTCTGTGCTTATCTTCTGCAAACACAGTCCACTGCCCTTACTTACACTGTGAGATTAAGCTAAATTAATATTACAAATTATTAATTCCTCTGTGGTATTTACTAAGCAGTTGGTAGTTTGTGCATCTATAAAGAAGCCACCCTCTTCGAACAAAGCAAATACCTTACCAGATAACAACTCTTTAGGTGTTGATTTAGATACAATTTGAAGTTCTAGAAGAGGAGTGAAGACACCCTCGATGTTTCCAAACATCGAAGAAAGGCCCAAGCTGAACAACATTATGAAAAACAGGATGGCCCAGGCCTGGGAGCCTGGCATGAGAATGATAGCTTGAGTGAAAACGATGAAAGCCAAGCCGGTTCCTGATACACTCTGCAGAATTCACAAACAGATAAAAATACACATTATAATGTCATTTCTCATGCATAAGTAATTAGGACACACTTTTGTCCTTCTCTGGAGTCAAGGGTGCTGGTCAGCCTGTGGGGCTCTGTGGCAGCCGTGGCTGAGAAAATGGGCAGTGGGGCGTGTTTGTGGGGAGTTTAAATTTTCTATCAGAGGTGTCTAGACAGTCATGGAGCAGAACTTTGTCTTGCACAGAGAGAGGGGTCCACAGTAAAGCAGATCTGAGAGTTGTAACTGAAATAGCAACTATTTTGCTAATACCATCTTAAGTGTGTTTTTCAAAAAATCTCTGATGGTGCTGGAAAGGAAGAGATGTAAATAAGGATATGACTGTCACTCTAGCAGCAAGACAAATGGTGAATTGTTGATTACAAAGCACCCAATAATTGCAAAGTCAGAAAAGACTAATAGGGGAGAAAGCCAATTTCAAACAAATTTCTTTTAATTTAGTCTCCCAAGGACAAGGGTATTTAAGTATAAGCATTGAAAGATGCTAATGTTGCCATAACTTGGAAGTAAAATACTTCAAACCGTAAATCAGAAATGGATACCATCAGAACAAGTGAGACAAAACAAACTGACTTGTGCCAGGGCTGCAATGTCCTCCTTGGACTTCTCCATCACGTGAGTAAAATATGGAATGAGGTAGGACAAGTAGACAGAGAAGAAACATCCATGTGTAGTGATAGGGGAAGTGTTTTAGGAGGATTAGAAAATAAGGAAAGGAAGAAGATCCTAACGTATTTTGGTGGCAAACAATGTACATTGTCATAGGTTTTTTGATGCTTTCCTAAATATAGATTTAGGAAATATAGATTTAAGAAGTATAGATTTAGAAAGATTTAGATTTAGGAAGATTCCAAAATATAGATTTGGGAAATTCCCATTCAGCATCCTTTTTCTGTCATCTTTTATCTAGATGTGTTTCCTCTGTTGTGCTTATTCCTATAAACCAAAATACAACTGAATGTAGTGTCCATGGTTGGCTCCAGGTGGGAGCACCCTTGAAGATTAGTTTTGTGGTTATTGTGTGTAATTTTGCATGCTGTAACAGACAGCTTTAAGTTCAAACTACCCTACAGTGGTATTGTTATTTCAAATGTTGAAAAATTGATTTGTTCAGTGATTGTATATAATATATTCATTACAAGTAGAGCAAAATACAAGCACTTAAAAGAAAAAGGAAGATACCAATTCTTCTACATTATTTTGTTTAAGGATTACCTGTTGGAAGCAGTTATGGTACCTGATCAAGAAATTCTTGAAGGTCACAGCTCTTCAGTTTGAGTCCAGCAATTTTTTCTGGATGTGATGAATTCAGGAAACTAATCCAGGAGGTATAGTTTTGTCGCATGATGCTCTCTTCCGGAAGATCAAATTCATTAATGATACTGATAATGTTCCTGCCAGAGAAGCCAACATAGCATGAGTTTAAATGTCTGCAGATGATGTGACTGGAAATGCTATACCGTGTATCCAGATGTTACTCAAAAGTTGTGCTTACTTCCTGTGCTGCTTTTTACAATATAAAGGAAAATATTAATTGACAGCTTTTTTATAAAACAGGAAAAAATAGGCTATTTAAAGTCTTCTCTTTCAGATACAAACTATGAGTACTTTATGCAGATGCAGTCTCTAAAACATTTTTATTTTGTCAGGTCTCCAGATCATTTCCACCACTTGTGTTTAATAACTTAGTGAATCTGGTGGAATAGAAAAATGTGTTGGTTTCTTACTACTTCTAGTGCTAGCCTGAGATTGAGATGTGAACTTTGATGCACGACTTAAAATGGGTATATTTATGTGGTTATGGTTATATATTTATATGGTTATAATTTGTCTTGCTTCTTATGAATGCTACCCTTGATCATTCTTGCCTCAGTGCCATAATACTTTCTGTTTTTACATTAGACTTCTCCATACATGCTTGTCATCCATAGATGCTTTTCCTTTTTATTGAAAATAAATTCTCTAAATGCATGTTTTTCAAATAAAGCATTATCTATTTAGGCATTGAAACCACAGTATAACATTGGGAACACAACTTTCTCACCTGTCCAAGCAGTCCCAGTAGGCTGTGGTTGCTTTAAACCCCAAAACAGAAAAGACTGGGATGGAAGCGTAGAGGGATGTCATGCTATTCACAATTGCTACTGTCACAGCATCCTTTTCACAGTCATTTCTAGGGATAGCATTCAAACAAGTGAAGCAACTTAAAAAAGGCAGTATTTTATCCGTGATTCAGTTATTTCTGCAAGCATTTTAATTTTTTATATTCCCCCCCCTTCCTTCTGTTAGAAGATCTATTTGGCCTTTTAGAAAGACAGCATCTGTTAAGATCCTTTAGAAAAATTAAGATAATTTATAAATATTCTAAAGAAAGAGTTTTGAAAATTAAAAAAAAAAAAAAAGCACAGAATGCAGCAAGAATTTAGCCAGCTAATAAAGGCTGTAGTTCTACTTACTTTGGCAGATTGTAGCTTGAGAATGCAATAAGCCCTCCAAAAGCCAAAGAGAGAGAAAAGAAAATCTGGGTAGCTGCATCAAGCCATACACGGGGATTTTTCAAAGTGTTCAGCTGAAATAATTGGAAGAAATGCATGTATTAGGCTTAAATTAAAATTGCTTTTTCTCTTCCAGGTCTCATAGCTCATCTCTTATTTTAGTTCTGAAATTTTGAGGAAAAAGAAGAAACTGACAGAGTGAAATTTGAATTTTGATGTGAGGGCAACCAACGTCATACAGGAAGCTAAATGAAAAAGCAAGTGGATTACAGAGAATGTTAAGCAGTTTTAAATAGTGGCACTAAGGAATCTTGCCATTGAAATCTGTCTAAAAGAAAGATAAAACATAAGTAGTGGGCAAAATGTAAATATGATCAATAAATATTAGTTTCCTGCAGAAAGTGGCATGATATATTCATACCCTACTAGGTGAATTACTTTCCAATCTGTTATCAAAGAGGGGAATAGAAACCAGTATTAGTTAAGAATGTTTTAGAAACCAGATGGTTTAAAAGTAATACTGGGACTGCAGTGCATTTCACTTTGTTTTACATCAGTCTGAGTCAAGTCTGCATCCCAGTCCTGCAGGACAACTTGTGTGTCTTCTGTATTTATCTGATCCTGGTATATGACTGGGAACATTTGCAGGAGTGAGAGGTTAGTACATCAAAAGACCCTTAATAGCATTTTGTCTTTCTCTGTGGCTGGCCCAGGCTTGAAGAGCAAGAATAATAGATTCACCTCAGTGTGGATGGATGCAGGTAATGGCATTACTGCAGATGCCCCCCCCCACAGGGATGTCAGTGCTTTGACCACAGCAAAAGCAGCGTAACCCTTTGTACAACATAGCATAACAAGCAGATATGTGTAACCACTGCTGACTGAAATGCTTCAGCTTAGGCAAACCTTTCTAGAGGATTAATTTGAAAGATCATAACCAAATCCTCAGAGGCCAGAGTGCTCACTGGCAGGGCCTTGTGCAGATACAGATCTAGATCGCTATTGCAGTGCAGAAACTTGGCACTCACATTAGTGTACGACCTTCACAATTTGATTAAGTGCTGCCAAGTCAGTGCTGACAGATGCGACTCCTACGAAGTCTGGATTTTTGACTGGGGACTTTGGCCGATGAGTCTGGAGATAATTATGACTGGTGCTAGGTGCAATGCAATTATTGACTCTAAAAGATACCAATCATCCCCCAAACTTGAAGAAATAGCAGGTGGGCAAGCATGCCATGGCAATGTCATTATCTGGTCTTAAGCAAATTATTAAAAAGATTATTTATATCTTCAGTAATAGGGCATACAGATTTTACAAGTATCTTCAGAAAAAAAAATGTGCTGATGCCAGAAACATGCAGATGAAGATATACAACCAGAATGTCAATGAATGAACATGGGAGTAATGAGGAAAGGAAGTATAATTGCTACCCCATGGGTGGTAAGATTTTTGGATACTGGAACACATAAAACACAGACAGAAATTTTCTTAAAACAGAATTAAAAATTACTGGGGTCCCTGTGATGTGTAAAAACTGATGCTTTTCTCAGAAGGCCAACAAGTAACACTGTGCTTAAAGGCAGCATTTCATTAGGGCAGTGCTTTTGCTCTCCTTAATACCAGAAACAGTATGGACAGTCTAGGTACCTTGAAAGAAGCTTTAAGTGTCCATGCATAGTAATACATCATAACTGCAAAACAGAGGAAAAAGTTACAAATTGCCTCTGTGGATAGAGGATTTGGTGCCTCTGCTGCCTTTTTCTTTTTCTTGGCTATTCTCACTGCTTGTTAAATAGCTGCAGAGCTCTGGGCACAGGCATCAGTTGCCCAACCAAGTTCTTGGAATTGTTCATTGCCAAACCTCCAAATATTTACAGTCTCTGAAGCTCTTTTAAATGTGAAAGAGACTGGACAAGGAGACATTTGTTTTCCTGATCTTGCACAGATGTCCACTGAAGGTGTGCCGTGCAGACTGTTGCTGATGCTTGATGGGATCTCTTTTCTGCTGCCTCTCATTATTTATGTTTTCAAAAACCTTTCCAAAAGTCTGTTCCAGCTCCTGTGTTTCTTCAACTTTGACAACTTCTGCTTTCCCTTCAAGTGTCTGTGAACATCATTTCAGTCTTTTTTATTTTCTTGGCAGTTTCATTTTCCAGGTAGCCAAGAGTTTAGAAAGAGTGAGTGAATTGTCAGACTTTTCCACGTCTGAAAGTCAATGAAAAGAAGTATTCATTATTTGTTCTAAAATTTAGGGTGTGGAAGTAAGTCAGATGGCAAAAAGCCTATGTATTTCTGCATAGCCTGCCACATTTAAAATCCATATGCATGCAGTTGTTATTTGTGATATTTTTTAATGAGAAGTGAAATACAAACTTAGAAAGTGAATAAACTTAAACAGTGGTAGTTTGGAAAAAAAAATTCATTTGGGTGATTATGATCCTGAAACTGAGTAAGATACAACTTTTAGCACTAGATGTTACTTCTTTCACAGATTTTCAAGAACAGTGAGGTGTCACAGTTACCAGAAGGTGGATGTGGCAGCTGTCAGAAACTACAATTTGTGCTGCACTGCAAAGTAGGGAAAAAGTTGGAAAATATTGCCTCCAATGAGTGGAAAATGTCAAGAAGGTTGATTTTCTTCATTTATATATTTATTTTAAAAGCAAACTGAAAAAAGCAGTAGGTGAGCTAATTCTTACTTTATTTTCTAAAACTTTACCAACTTCCTGCAAAAAGACTGGAAAAGAAGAAGGAAACAGCACACACTTAGGAAACACGCTTTACAATTTTGTAAGCAAGTGTGGTCTGGATGGACCAGGTAAATCTCTACCAAAAAAAAACCAAACAAAAAAACCCAACCCACAAACCAATAGCCCCCCTGTACAACTCACTTTGGGACATTCCTTGTGGGGAAGCATAACAAGAAATATGACTGTGTTTATTGATGGCAGGGGTGGGAATAGTTCCTCATTAAACAGGCTAACAGGAAAGAAAATATTGGTACTGCAGTTATGGGCTAAGGGGAAGAAGAGAGAAGGGCAACGTTGCAACTACATGCTTACTGTCTTTTGAAGTCCTTGAAGTGCCACAATCCTCCACAGCAGTTGGTAGGTTGGTTTAACAAAGCCATCTCTCTCTCTCTTACACTATGAGTTTGGCAACACCCATAGCAGGTATCAATTTACCAGGCTGTTGCATCAGCTTTCCCATGTTTGTAGATAAGAACATAGTTTCATCACTAGAACCATCTTCACATGACTTTTCAAGGACATCCCCAGGATCTGCTTCCTCAAACCAGCTAACCATTAACTGCAGGTTGACTGCAGATGGATTTCCACTCTGACTTCTGGCACCAGTCTACAAATCCATCTGGCTCTTTTTATGACGATCCGCTCCTCCTGAGCACTGCAATACCTCCAAGCTTTTGGGAATATACACAAATCTACTTTCTGCATTAAGTTCAGTGTGTAGTGATCCCAAGTCTCAGAGATGACTGAGCTCTTCCAGAGAAACCCAACAGCCAGGCTGAGACCAAATGACAATAGGCTAAGCCCTGTTCCTGGTTGTGTTGTCTAACCTGCTTTCTTCCTTAAGACGTTGCACCAAGCTTTTATTGTCATGTCTGGGCCCTAAAAAAATGCAAGTGTATGTCCTGATCTCCTGTAATAACCAAGGTTGTCCTTCTTGAGCTCTGGAAGCATTTAGATGGCTGTCCGTGCCACTGGGCTTGCAGAGGGAGGGATAAAGAGATGTCTCATCTGAGCTTTCTCCTGTTGTTGTCCCTTTCCAGCCTGGCATGTAATATATCTCTGGGCTACTTGACTTATGTTTTCCTTAATGTCTGTTTTCTTGCTGTAGAAAAGGAAAGGGAAAAACTCAGTGCTCCTGTGGCTGGAAGTGCTGCTGTGGCTGCAGAACCAGTGGATGCTCTGAGACCACTTATCGGTGGGTGCTGCTTTTCGTCCTCTGCACTCACCACTTCATGGAGCTTTTTAGCACAAAGGCAGAGCTGTGAAGAGCTTACACTTTATAGCAACCACTCAGCGGGACAGTCTGACTTTTCATTTGGGAATGCCACTAAGGAGAGTGTGAAAAGGGCCTTCTGAAACGAGGGATCTGGAACTCCCATCCCTTTGAGAAGATGAGAAAAAATGGGAGAGGCGTTCTTCTCTAGCCATTGTGTCTTTTAGGAACAGCTACGATGGAGGGGAGGAAACTGCAGTTAAGGAGAAACATGGGTAGGAGAAAATTACTTTCAACCTTAAAATAACCCACTTTGTAGTATGTAATTCCTCATTAGTTTTCCTTGTGAATTCTTAAAATATTAAAGTTGTGTAAATTCTATAACCTTGGCACAAAAATCCCATCTTTATCATGTGCTTGTGAAGTTTACTTACACATTCAAAACTGAGGCACCCATAACATACTTAATTTTCCAGTATTTTCTGATATGCTTACTACTGAACTGTTAAATACTTTGATGATTTTTTTTCTGCCAAAGTATATTAAAATACTAAATCACTTCATCTCAGAAAAAAGAGCTTAGCTGAGCTCTTGGATAGAGAGCTAGACCAGGAGTTGCTGGAAAATGAGTATACAGTGTGAAATCTGAGGGGGAGAAAAAGGAAAAATATTTCTGACTATAGCAGCAATACTTACATTAGGGGTGAAGAGGTAAGCCAGACCATCTGTGGCTCCTGGTAGAGTGAGTCCTTGAATAAGGAATATAGTCAGGACCAGGTAAGGAAATATTGCTGTTATGTAAATTGCCTAAAGTAAGAAAGTCAGAAGACAAACAGTTACTGGCAATAACTTCAATAAAACCTATTTAAGTTATTGCAACATATAATCCTAATAATATTTGATAAGACAGCTATGGATGAATACTGCCATCTTTAAAAGAAGTAGGGTGTATTTTTGCATAATATATTTAAAAGAAAATTGCCCTTAAAACTGTGTGAGAGAAGGCTGGTAGAGCAAAAGCATTTGCAATGGAGAAAGAGAGAAGTATCATTTTAAGCCAGCTGTACTGTTGTTCTGGCTTTGTTGGACAAGGAGCACAGTGAAATGGTGCTAGTGTGGTAAATAGGGAAGGCTTTCCTTGGTGGTAAAAACTCAGTATCTGGAGAGCAAGATGGAAAGGTTGGGGTAATGCACTTCTCTGTCCTGTGTACCTTTCCTGTGGTTTCAATTCCTCGGATGGTGCAGAGATAGACAATTGCCCAGCAAGTTGCTAAGCACAAAATGAGCCACCACTGTAAGGTGCCACTCTCAGCGATATCAGGTGTTATGTTCAAAGTCTTCCTATACCAAAAATAATTTACTGCGGTGCTTTCATAACATTCTTTATTGAACCCTGAAAAAAAAATGTGGCAAGTATTAGAATAAATTGTGGACTGCCAAATCAAATTCAGAGGTGGACTTTCTGCACTGTGTGTACAGTGCAGCAATACAAACTCTGTCACATCAGTCTGAGACTCTGAGAGTTACCTGAGACCTTCACCAGATCGCCAGCATTTCTACAGGGGATAACTTTCTAAATAGAAACAGTGTCGTATGCAGTGCAAGGTAAAATCTAAACTAATGGCACTGGAGACTATGGAATTTTTAGCTGTATGTCTGCAAGTTGGTGGAGCCATAACAGGCTTCAGGCACCTGAGGATACTTCTAAGGCCAGGCTCCCCTGACAATGTCATGGCCCTGTAGTGGGGAAAGACCCAGGCATCGGCCTCTTTGGCTTGTGTTTCCAGGAGTTCTGTTAGTGGGAACCTCAGGCACCTGCACCCAGGAGAACGGACATTCCCTAGCCAGGTTCTGTGCCTGAAGAAAAAGGAAAGGGGAACATGACACACATCACAACCCGTGCTTACACCTTTGCCTATGAGCAACCTAAATCCCTGAAGGGGGGGTTGACAGAGAATCCTCAGGAAACCCACTGACCTGCTGTCTTTAGCTGGAAACCAAGTTCCCTGGTTGCTGCAGCCCCTGCCATTGCTCCCATCCAGAAATGGATATGTCCTGAGAGCTCTCAGTGCATTTCCAAAAGCTGAGGTTACACAGTGTGGCAGCACTGATAGCTGTCCCATAACCAGGAGGTCCAGCACACATCAAGACTGAGGGAGTCTGCGTTCACCTAAGCTTGGTAGATGGGAACAGCTGCTACTTGTATCAGGAAGCACCTCCTTGGAGAGAGCATTGCCTTTGTGATGGAGAAGTGCAGGTTCTTCCCATCTTGGCACTGGTATTGAAAAATCTGTCCTTATGGGATTTCTTCACTATTTTCAAAAGATGTTAAACTAAAAATGCAAGATTTTGTATACCAAATATTGAATAAATAGTTGATCTCCAAAGCAGGTTTGAAAAACATCTGTTTAACTCCCTGACTGGGACATCTGAACCTGAGAAATGAAAGAATCCTATTTCTTAAGGCCCAAATAATTTTATCTACTTCTGTAAGAAATATGGGTTATGTCTTATTGTCTTCCTACTCTAGAACAGTCCTATGGCCTCCGAAAGAAGGTTGACTTCTTTTATGTTTTGTCTCTTCACTTAGCCTCTTACTCAGGTTATGGTTCTTGCTCTGCCCTGGACCTTGTTTCCTCTCAAACTCTGAGCAAAAAAGAAAGTTGAAAAATAATTTTAAAGACCTGAGAGGAGTCCTCCTTGTCCTACTTAGCTATACTGTCTCTCTTTGGTCTTACTAAAGTCTCATAACAGGTAGCATGACTTTGGTCTGAGCACCAAGGAATCCCACTTTAAATAGTAATTCTGCTTATTTAGTTGTCTTTTTTTTTTGACACTGTTATTTTGCTTTCCATTTTGAAATCAAGCAAAATGGCTCATGGATTTTCTGGATCTTGTTGTTTCTGTGAGGATGATGAATTTGAGTAGGCTATTGTGACTTTTGGACCTTTTTAATGTGAAATCAAACCAGGACTTGTGCACAACTCAGGGCCAAATCAAATGTGGCTTTTCAGGATTTCTTGGTGAGCCCGGACTGATGTTTCTGATCCTACTTTTGCTAGCAGTGATCATGGTATTGTAGTTACCTGTTCTGTTTGCATTTAGAGGACAAATACTCCAAGGAAGAGGTTCTTGGAAGGAGTTTATGAGATACCACATCACCCAGGTTAAAACAGTGTTGTAGTATAAGCTCACCAGAATGGACACCACCCACGAACCAACACCTGCAGAAAGCACAAGATCTCAGCTTAGAAAAGCTTTGGAAAAAATTATCAGTCAGTCACAACACTAGCTCTTGGAAGTTCACATTTCCTATTGTTTCAAGATTTTCTTGTCCATCCTCCCCTGCCCTCCAAGAGATTTTCCCCTGAAAGATGGGCATTTGTGTCCTCGGTAGCCAAACATTAGTACACAGTCCCCCAGCTCATCAACCCTGCTCCAAGAATGCTGACACTCTCTACTTACATAGAAGATTAGGATTGAAACCTTTGCTGTAGTACATAATACATTGTTTTCTATAACACGGGACAACTTTAATAGTAGAGACCAAAAGAGACTGAAGTCTCATGCTGTAGCTGCATGAGGCCACTCTTTTGTCCCAAATCATGCACGTATGCCCTAAACTGGTCACTGTTTTGCTCCTATGATAAGGAGGGAAGAATATCACCACATTTTCAGCTTACTTGTATTTTTACAAAGGACATGCCTAATTGAAGGAGGTGGGCTTAGCTGGAAGCACCACCTCACTGCTTGGTATTTCTTCCTTATTACCCTCAGCCCTTAGATAACTTGTCTCACCCATCCCTTCTTCTCCCACGTGCCCACAGGCATGGCTATCAGTGCCAAGCCCATTTCAAGCACCTGCTTAGTGTAGGGCATGATCCAGCAGGGCTGGCTGGAGCATCCAGGGGCTTCTCCTTGCCCTACAGGCACAAGGGTGCTGTCTCAAATACCTAGTAGAGTTGATACTTCAGTCCTCATGGTGGCTGCTCCCAATCACTTCTACAGCCTAACAATTCATGCAGGACACAAGATGTGTTTTTTCAGTGTATATGCAATAAATAGAAAAGAATTGCCAGTACAGTCCTACACACCAGTCTGATGCACACTGCCATGTGGATTGTACCATGTGCCAAGCCATGTTAATAATGTCCTTTCAGTAGTCCCACTGTGGCCCCCTCTTGTGGAGCACAGCTTTCCCAGGTGCTTTAGACTCATTAGGAGGTGGCAGGATCCTGTTCCTGATTTCATGTCTTTCTGTCCTCCCTTCAGTCTGACTATTCATGGACAGAGAAGACTGGCTTCTGGAGGGACTGTCCCGGAGGAGCAAGAAGCATTGTGTTCAGGCAGCATTTGTGTGAGCACTAAGATATGGTAGGAACAGGACAGTGCTGGCTAGCAGAGCTCATGTTCATTGTGCTTCCAACAGCAAAGGTTATGAGGTTTGCATTTTAGGCTCCTGTTTGCCTAGAGTAATACCTGATGAGAGCAATATAGAATTATAGAATCATAGATTTGTTTGGGTTGGAGCAGACATTTAAAAACCATCTAGTCCAACTCCCCTGCCATGGGCAGGGACATCTTCAACTAGACCAGGTTGCTCAGAGCCCTGTCCAACCTGACCATGACAATTTCTGGGAAAACCACTTCACTCTGGGCCACCTGTTCCAGTATCTCACCACCGTCATTGAAAAGAAATTCTTTCTAATCCTAACACTCATTAATTTTTGTATCTTAAAAAGCATCAGGCATAGGTGTGTAGGAAGTGTGTGCTGGATGGGAGCTCATCTGCAATTCCTTGAGCTGGGACCCAAAGAGACGTACCAACACCTCCAAGGTAAGGTGAAATAGTGTTCCAGGCACCGATGCTGCCTTTCCTCAGGTACTGTCCTAGGGCCAATTCAAGATGCAACAGTGGGATTCCTTCGAAGAAAAGAGCAATGAAGTATGGGATCAGGAAAGCCCCTGAAAAGACAATTAAGTGCAATTAAGTCACATGATTATCTCCATCTCACTAAAATTACCGTTTGGTAATTAATCTGCTTTATGAACCTAACAAGTCCATGTTGGATGAGCGAGGGGTCATTTCTAGGGACACCTGCCAAGTTTGTTACTGGTAATTTTGTTGGTGAAGATAAGGAGGAAGGACTGGGATGCTTAGTGTTGCAGGATGCTTCCCCTCAGGCATTTCTACAGCCCATTATAAGTTTTTCACTCACTATTTCATCCCTTTCCCTTTCTTTTAAGCATCTTTTGTCCCCATTCTCATAAAGAACAAGGATTTGCCTGTCCCCTACACTATCTGTTTTCCCTTCAGTGCATTGGCTCATTCCCCTTCTTAAAGCTCTCAGGCATGTGCTCCTCCATCTTCCACTGCTAAAGCATGATTTTGTGCTGGATACCCCCAAGAGACCAGGTTGCTTTATTACATGAAGTTCTACTCAGAGCACAGAGCGTCTGGCTAATGAAGAACTGAAAGCAAGGCTAAAGTTTTTCTGTGAGACATGGGGGCAATGAAAACCAATTTCTTCCCAGTTTGTATGCTTTACATCTTTCCTGTTTTTCTCACAGCATCTCCCTTGGGCCATAAGCAGCACATGCTGTTGGTTACCTGTGGGAAGGGACCAGTCCTGCCAGCTGCCTGGCTATTTCCTGCTAAACCATGTGCAATTCCTTGTTTCCCACACCTTCCCTCAGAAAGGACATGGGTTTGGGTCTCCCTTCTTTTGCACAGATACTGAATTTTATGAGACCAGGAGAAGTTCCATCAGTCTGTTTATACTGCCTGCCCAAATGTCCAATTAAATTGAAATGGTGTAATAGATTGAAGTTTATTGCCATGATCAACAACCGCTGTGACCATGAAGACTCTTTTCTCCAGGGACATAAAGACAGAAGTCCTGCCTCAGCCACCTCCCAGTCCTCCTACCAATGTGTACTGATTCTGTGCTCCTCACTGCTTTGTCAATAAACCTGTGCCTTGTTCTACCATTTCTACTTTGCCTCCAAATCTCATATCTGAGTCTGCTCAGCTCTGCTCTACCAGCTCTGGAAGCTTTCTCCTCTTCCTCCAGGTTGGCAGGGATCAGCCTCACCATCCCCATCTGAGAAAGTAGAACAGAGTAGCTCTGCTCTGTGCTCAGTCTTCAGCCCTGAGAGGGAGGTTGGGGAATGCAGAAGGATTTGTCGTCTCCACCTGGAGTGGCACCGGGATTCTGCAATCACTGGTTATTTAGAAAGGCTGGGCAGATAAATCTAATCACTTGGGCTAGTGTTATATTGCAATAACTAACTTTGCTACCTATTGCTAGGAGCTGCAATAAATACATACAACATCCTGAGAAGGTGTGGTGTTGAATGGTTGAGCCTTCTATCAATAATACATAGGAAAAAAAATCAGCAAAGCTCTTCACAATGGAGGACTGTTCTTAAATTGCCAAAGGTGGAAATAAATGTCTTGCCTTATGACCTGAACTCTTAAGATGTTTTTAACTACTAAGAAGCAGATATGAAAAAGGAGTCTCACAGTTAATTCCCAGTATGTTAAATCCTTGATTTGGATCCTTGGTACCACTGCTCAGTAGTCCTTGTCCTTGGAGGAAGCTCTAAAGTGGCTGTTACAAACTCCCCCCTCCTAGAGAGATTTACAGAGGGACTTAAGGACCACAGTAATTTGTTTATTTTTAAGTGTTTTGCCACCTGATGAAATCTCACCTGGAGCTACTTACCAAAGCTCCCGTGTAAATATGAAGGAATTTGGAGGTCCCTTCCACAAGAACTCAGTAACCTCCTGCTATGCTCAGTTCTGTGCTCTGCTTCAAACCTGCTGCAGTATCCCTCTCCACAGCACACCTGACAGCCCAATGCCTTGGACTGCCCCCTGGGAAGAGCAAAATATTCAGGCAAGTGACCAGAGCACCACAGTACGGAGCACTCTACTTCTTTGTCCAGCTGCCTGGCCATACACCAGCTCTGGGCAGTAGCCGTCTCACTGCAATCCACGTGATGCTGAGGCCTTGCTAGCAGAGCACTCCATAAGAGACCAACCTATCTCCCATATCATATCTCCTGGGAAATAACTGTGTAATAATTAGTGCAAACTGCCCTCTGTTATCTCTCTCCCCTTTTCTGTTTGCTAGTTGAGCCATTGACAGCAGAGCGTTTAGACATTCTGCTGATAAAAACCTGTTTACTTTGTGTGGGCTTGTGTGTACCTCCAGGCATATTTACAGCATGGCAAAACATAATGTCACACTTGGAAAGAAGATACTGGTTTCTCATGAGAACAATATAAAAAATCTGCTATCTGCAAATATGAAAATATGGCAGAAGATTTGGTAAAGAAGAAATAGTTTATGAAGCCAATCTTTCTCGAACCTAATTGAAGTAAACGGCTTGTAGTGTAAAATTAAGTTTTCAGTTATTCATTCCTTTGCATTACCCTATTTTCAGGCAAAAAGAAAATAGTCAGGAGAAGGACAGTCAGCCTGCTGAAGCACTTGAAGCTTACTCTTTTCCACAATAAAATCCTCCATCTATAGCAAAACCAGAAATGCATTAACACGAAAGTATCATTTATGGAATAGTGAGTAGGAACCCTTTAGTATTGTATAGTCAAGGGCTCTGTTCAATAGATAGAAGAGGATGTGCAAGAAGGCAAAATTTAAGCACCTTCTTTAAAAAATGCACTGAGAAATCTAACTACAGAAAAGGCAAGCAGAAAATCCAAGGAGCAGAATGAATCAGCAAGCTGGTACCTAACACACAGCAGATATCACAAACGAGAGCATTCAAACACAGGCACAGCAAAACCCCATCAGAACCCATATGGTGCGTAGCACAGACACAGCAGAAACTCTGTAGATTTGGCTTCCATGAGGCATGGGGAGAAGGAAATCTTAGCGGAAACAATCATAAAACACTAGTAACAAATTATCCGGTATCTGGACATTCTAGGTATATTTATATCTAGGTATTCTAGATCTATATGCTCTACAATGAAAGGAAAATAAACTACATAAGAAGCAAGCCAAGGATGGGGGGGAACCTCTTTAAAAAAAGGTTTATTTTCAGTAATTTTTTCCTCTCAAAAAATGAATAAGGAAATGATAGTGATGAAGTATTTTTAAGTACTTTTAAAGTCTGGAGAAATGCCCATAAAAACTGAAAGTATTCCCAGAGCATGATTTAGTTGCATCCCTGAAGCACGACCTAGGAAAATTTTGGTCTACATCATTCCTTCTGTCAGAAAGACACTGAAGATTCATAAAGCAAGTAGATACATGAAGTACTAAAAAAAGGTCAAGGGGAGGGGGGGAAACCCAGTTCAAAATCTATGAGAGTTAATAGTTATTTTGGAAGGAGATCCTGCACAAGGATGCCACAAAGCTGTGGAACAATCCCTGTGCACATGAGAAGGCACAGAAAGCCTTCAAGAACTTTTTCGAATCAGGCTATCAACAACTGCAAATACTGCACACACTGGTGAGCTGGTTCCATTAAGAATAGAGTCCCAAGTGACAAGGAGCACCAGTGTGTGACACGACTGGTGAAGAATCACTGGAGTGAGGTAGCTCCACAGTCACAGCAGTAGAAAAGAAAGGACCTGGTGCACTCAAGATACACTGAGGGTTTTTAAACCTGACCCCTTGATCGCAATGCACAGGCAACTGCTCAACCATATTTAGCAAAACAACACTCAAAGGGCACGATCTTTATTATATCACCTGCACATGACAATCTGGATGAGAAGTGCTAGGGAGAGCTGCTAATGCACCACAGAGCAGAATGACAAGGAGGCTCAGGAAGGAGCACAGTGTAAAGTTGGTTCACATCAACCAGCAAAACAGAGTGAAAAAACCTAACTGAGTTTGCAACTTCTTAGAAAGAGAGACCAACAGACCTGACTAGTAGAAATGTAAGGCAGTTTGAAGAATCAGCCAGGTGACCTCCTGATCTACATATACCAAGATCAGCAGAAATCGATGAGTCTCAGTGAGATGCAAAGAAGGAAACCTAGTAGCTTTGCTTGATGATGGGATACTAAGGAAGACTTCCTAAATGTTGGAGAAAAACTTTCAGGAACTGATCCATGTGTTCAATTTTGCATCTTAGCAGTGCTTGTGGATCAGCTTGCAGAAGAAAGGCAAGTGATTTGAAATTATGATCTAAAGACACAATAACATTTGAGAGGGCAGAACTTGAATAATAACTTTCCTTCAGATAGAGATTTAGCAATAAAAAAATAATTTTGATAAAGACTGAAATGACCTGGAAAGTGTTGAAATAGTAACTTCAAATGCATCTGTAGTCTGAAAAATTCAGAAAGCACATCTCAGTGTGATACAATGCAACAAGAATTCAGAGATCCACTTTACTGGTTCTGTTGGTACGTAGGAGGAAGGGCAATGGGTGCACTTTTCCAAAAGACTGAGGACTTAATGGCAAGATACCTATGACAACTTGTGTTTTACCTACAAGAAACTGCAATAGGTGGTAATTACTTGTTCAGATACAGAGAGAAAGCTATTAGCTATTGAAAGGGGATTATCAGACCTGTCACACTTTCTCTATAGGAGTTCAGCTAAGCAGTGTAGTAGTCAACACAGCAAGGAATCACATCAAGACATCTGGTAGGAAAAAAGGAGCAACTTAATTACACTCACTCCTCTCTCTAGAAAATGTACTTCATGACCTTTATTATGTCTCCTGCACATGCCTCAATTCAGATGAAAAGTATGAACTGGTATAAACATCATATTTGTGCAGCATATTTATGATGGCACTGATTTTGACTTTGCAACCGGACGTGTCTATCTCGTATTGGCCTTTTTAGCCACCAGTGCGCTTGTAACAAACGTGGGTAGAGCCCTTCCCAAATCTTCGGTCACGAAGCCTAGCCATGATGATGATCATGATTTTGACTTGCAAGTCACATTGTACATCTTACAGACTCTGAGACTCGGCAGGGTTGAATTTCCCCTGTAAATGACTATATCTCCTTGAGCAACACTGACAGAGCTAAAGGTGAGTCCGGAAATCCAAGAGGGCAATAGCCATTTCAAACAAAGACATGTAACACCCATAGATTAACTTATAAAATAATCTTGGTGAACTTCCTTTGAAATACTCATGACTAAAGGATGCATGCAAGCAGCACTCACATGCACCAGCCTGAGCTGTAAAGGGCAAATAAATATAACAAACTGTGAAAGGATCAACTCCAAATGTCACAGCTTTACACCTAGGACTTGAGCAGAACATGACAACAATCCAGAAAATTGAGTGTGTTGCTTGCTGTAACACAATTTTTCTGTCAGAGAGTGAACTGTTCTGCACTTCCCAACGTACTATGTTTGGGTTTGTGTGTCTTTACAGTATCTTCCAGGTATACATGTTGTTCCTCTTGGGTTTTGTCTTCTTTCTGAGGACATAATGAGCCAGGCGTTTAGCAGCAAGTCATAGTTCAAGTTTGAGCAAAAGGTCAGGTAGGGTTATGAAAGTCTGTAAATGGTTGCCCCAGAAGTAAACAGTTCTTCCTTTTTACCATGACTGTAGTGTTTATGCGTATTTCTTTTCCTAGAAAGAAACTATATTTTATATTAAAGGTATTTTTCAGTCATCTTACAGGCTCAGACACTTTTTTAATGCCCGTGAGCCAGGCAAGCGTATACTAGCAAAAACTAAAGGTACACCATTGCAGTCAGTTCAGCTAGAACTGTGATGATTTTTCTAAAGTATACTCAGATGACTCTATGTGTACACATATAGTATATATGTGACTTGTTAGTGTCTCAATATATACTAAGTCAATATACACTTGTTAATGCCTCAACAATATACTGGGCTGTTTAGAGATTTCTTTTCAATCCCAGTTGCCTGGGAACATTTGTGTTTGTCTGCACTGACTGTGGCAAACAACCTTCATACCCATTAGTCATGAAAAGTAAATAACTAACTTAACTCAGGCAATAAATCCAAATAATCAGTAACGACAGCAGGTGATAAATGTCAGCAAAACTGATATTATATTAGATACGAGTTACTGAGTAACACTAATGTGCAATGAATCAGGTCCAGAGGTCTGATGGGAACAGCTGACCTGAGGCAAAAACACAAGCACTTGTTTTCATCTCTTGTTTTTTAAAACATGCAGAAATAAGAAAAGTACATTGCCTAACACTTAAATACTTGGATATCGCCCGAACCAGCCGCGAAATTGTACCACAGAAACTATTCAGCCTTCGAGCATGTCTATGCCATATCCATACCAGGTTTAACTGCACTTATGACTGTGGCTGCAGGCACAATCCACTGCAGCTCTCAGGGCTCCCAGTTAACTGTTCTCTCCCACTGCTGCTGTTCTTTCCCGCGTTTACATCTTTGGATGCACACAAACAGGATTTATGCTCCAGTACTCCTGAAAATCTATTGGGCTTTTGCATCTGAGTTGTTTACTTTCAAAAACGCAACCCCTAATCACATCACTGCCTTAAACTAACAGAAGAAAAATGCAACTACCTTATGCACTGGTGTAAACACAACAGCTCTGTTGTCTCAGTGATCTTCATAACTCACTCAGCTTTTCCAATGTCATCTCTTTGGGATCAATTATTCACAAACCCTACCGCACTTTATTACAGAGTTCATCCTGCTGTTGAGCTCTTTGAGCCCTTTATTGAGGCTGAGTGACCAAACACTGGCTGCACATCCATACATTGACCTTAAATCACCACTGTCTTGTGCCACTGTTTGTGATGATGGAAAGTAGCTGTTTGCCATTGCTGAGTCTGATAGCTATTTTAAACTGGTTTTTCACTGGCAACATTACTATTCACAGAGCAAAAGAGCAACTCAACCTTTATCCCTGCAGCATTTTCCTATTTTTATTATCTTTAAACCTTCTCTAACCCCTGTATTTTTGTCCCAGCAGTTCCTGTGGGAAATATCAGAGATCTGGAGCCAGATAACACGAGCAAACAGACTTTCTGAACACTGTTCAATCCATTAGACAGGTCACCATGGGTCTCCTTGCAGTGGTCTCACACCTCCTGGAATGGTGAGATCTGTAGGGCAGGGATGCAGAAGGGAGGATGGATGAGAGAGATCAAACCGCAGTAACAGGTGAGCATTGCTGTCTTCTGAAGTGAGGCTGGGATCTGAAGATACTGAAAAACAGTTGACCAAAGCTGCTCCCCCACCTCCAGCATGGAGAAACAACGATTGGTGCTTCATGGAAAGGTTTGAGAGCCTTTTTAGGGTCAGTAGCACAATATTTCATCTTAATCCAGATTTGCACAGGACTGAAGCATAAATTTCATGTAGCCTCATGCAGCTGGTGGCCCCAGAAGCAGCTCTGTGCAATGAGATGTGCAGAGGAGCTGCATCTTGCTATGTCCATGCCTGTGAGTTTCAAACCTTCCACTGCACGCTTTGTGTTAATCATTTGTTACATTACAAAAATATCATATTGTGTTAGTTTTATTATGTTATTTGTTAATACTGTATGCATCTTCCTTAGCTTTCCAAGATCGAAAGGCCACCTGAGATGCTGTAGAGTATTTGACCTGCAGTTCCTGCTCCAGAACATTTTCCTTGCAGGTCTCATGCCATATCTGCTATGGGGATGTCTCTCTAAAGGTCTTTAACATGTCTTATTAATGCAAGCATCATTAACTGAAATGACGGTTTTCTTCCAGTCATTCCCATGGACAAATGCAGAGAAATAGTGTGAACCTATGGCTTTCTAGCCACCCAGTTATGGCACTTCTCTGAGGGAATTTCACTGGGTTTCTCATCTTGAAAATAAATAATGGAAACCACCAAGTCTCCTGGGAGGAATCTAACCTACTGCATCTTGTCTTTTATTATTTGTATTTGTGTAATTGTAACTTTCAGCTGTTACATATTCAATGTTAAAAAGCTCCCTGCCACCAAAATAATTTCCATTTTCTTGTTTAAAGACTATGATAGACATATTTTTTCATTTTCAATTTCATTACCTAAATAGATTGAATTCTTGTCCCACAAGTTTTCCAGCCCTTGAATAATTGTTGGGGCTTGTCTGCATTTTGTCTAATTTTTCAAGTTGACTTTGAAAAGTAGACTTTCAGAAAAAGTTAGAGGTTCAGAAGTTGATTTAGTATTGGTAGCAATATCTCTACCTACTTCCTAGTGCTCTGCTTATATATGCCAAGATTCCTTCTGTTGATACAACCTGATGTATCTCATTCATTGAGCTGCTTACCAGAGTCCGTAAATAGCTACTCCTTTCTGAAACACCTTCCATTAAAGGCAACATCCATTCTTGGTTCCTTGGTTGATTGAAATATATGTAGTTCATCAAGAAATACAGATACCTTAATAAAACAAGCTTGGATTTAATAATGTTTTCTGTCATTTGACAGTTTCTCCAGGTTTGAATTTTCTGTTTCTCCAATTAGTTGAAAGATAACAAATATTATTGGGCTGAAACAGTTTGCTGTCTCACTCTGCTTTAGACAGTGGCAGATTTCAAAAGCTACTATGGATGGTGAGTTACCAAGGACTCTTTTCTGATCCATTTATATATACCAAATTGTCTGATTCTAAAGCAATTCTTGTTGGAACTGGTGCCTAGGGACCGGCTTGGGCACCTGTCCACACCACCTGACAGGCTCCTGTTGCTGTTCTATCAGCTGAGCATTTTAAACAGCCTCTCAGACATCAAAAAGCACAATTTAGTTTTCTGCAGGGACAGCTCCCGATTATGAGGTAGCTCCCAAGAGCACCAGAGAAGGAATGACTTGCTCACCTTCCCAAAGGAAAACTCAGTGGCCATTTGGCTGGGGGCCGGTTCACTCAATCCTTCCTAGGACTTCTCGCTTCTCCTTAAGGTAGCCAGTTGCGGGTTCAGTTTCCTGGTCCCATTGGGACTGCAGCAGCAATGTAAAAACTTTAAAATAGCCTTTTCTGAGAGTGAGTCAGTCAGGTCTTCCTAAACAAATGCATCCTTTTAAAATGAAATATACTTCTATAGAAAAAACTAATCTAACTAGAGCAAAACATTTATGAGAATTAGATAGTTTTTTAAAAAAAAGTGATGTCACTGATATAAATTATATAACTTCTATACCTCTCAGAAGTTAGTACAATTATATTAGAATTGCAGTGTAATATTTTGGCAAAGTCTCATTTCAATCTTACCGCCTCCATGTATCTGACACAAGTATGGAAATCGCCACACGTTCCCCAGACCAACAGCAAATCCGATACAGCTTAAGATATACTGGAACTTATTGTCCCACTTGGGTCTGCCATCTTCTTTAGGGATTTCAGGTGTTGCTGATAAATCTTTTGACATTTTAATGAAATATCCTTGTCTCCTTAACCCCTTTCCCTATAAATGGGAAGATGCTTCAAAACCTGTCTCTCCTACAGGTTTTATGTAGGGTGACAGGAGGATCCTGGAAGAGAGGTGGAGCTCTCTTTTTATCTGATACAAAGGAATGTGTCATTGCCAAGGCTGCAGTTTAAAGACAAAACCAGGAATTGTTATTATATAGTTACCACTCTTGCCTTTTTTGCAGCTCCTTCTATAGTTAGAGAGCTTGGGAATATGTTGTTAATGGGTAACTTGGGATCAAACAGGTTTTTATTTTCTGTTCTCCTTCTGTTCTCAGAATCTGTCAGAGAAGTGTGACACTGAATATAATTAAAAAGAAACCTTTACAGCAGACTAATTAAAATTGTAAAATACTGGTAAAAATCTGTGAATAAAATGTTGCCATTTCCTTTACTAGTTTGTCAATAGAAGTAAATGAATGAAGGCACCTTTGCAAATTCAAAAAGTCAATTAGGAAGAAAAGCAAGAAAAATTAGACCTTGTATGTTCAGTCAAAAGAATTTGGTCCATTTTTACAGTAGCTGCTAGAAGTTTCACTTCCCACTTGCCAATGAATCCCCAGTGACTATTTTTATTGTTCATTAAATAGTTACTGATGAATGCAAGAGCTGAATACTTTTCTTCAGTTGAAAGTATGCGAGAATATTTTTCTGTTTTCTTTCAGTTATACCAAGATTTTGCTAGTTTGCAAGCTGAATTAGTTCATTCCACACTAAACAGAGCAGCCAGTCTGCTTGCTTTGTTCAGTAAATCAACACTTTGTGGCTGGATTACCCTCTTGAAATGGGAAGAGTATCTAAGTGAAGGTGAATTGTTTTCTCCAAAATAAAAGCCCTGCTCTGGAGCTAAGCACACAAATATGGTCAGGTTGCAGATCATGCAACCAGAAGCCAGTTTCAGATCTAGGCTACACGAATCTTCCCAGGCTGGTACAGCTCATTCTGCTTGCAGCTCTGCAAATATCCAGATCCATAGATGGAGCAACTCAACTTGCCAGTCTCTTATCATGATTGTCTCACAGGCCACACGAGTCCGTGCATGCAGTGAGGCTTGGCAGCACTTACACAGCATCAGTGCTGCCATGGCACCCACCACCATTGCCCCGGCCGCTGCTGTGCTTCCAGTCAGGAATGTGCCTCATGCTGTACTTGGGCCCTTTTAGCAAAATGCTGAATTCCACACCTGCCACCTGCAGCCAGACACTTCAAAGTCAGTTTTATCCGTTTGTGGTGGCTGATCTTTTTATCAGCAGAAAAATTTGACAAAAAATGTTTTTCCCATTAAAGAATAACATCTTTAAATAGTTTAAATAATTACTCACATTCGAGTAACTAAAAAAATGGAAATTGGAGTGGAAATTATTTTGATCATTCAAATTCTCTGGAACAGGTTGTCCAGAGAAGTTGTGGATGCCCCATTCCTTTAACTGTTCAAGGCCAGGCTGGAGAGGGTTTGGAGCAACCTGGTCTAGTGGAAGGTGTACCTGCCTGTGGCAGAGGAGTGATGATCTTTAAGGTCTCTTCCAAACCAAACCATTGATTGTATGATTCCATGAAGTACACATGCAATGCCTCTTACTTTACTCTCTATTTAGAACAGATATACTACTCTAAAGATACATTCTATAGTAAATATACCTGAAGTATACCTATTTCTTGTAAGAGAGTGTTTCAATTATAATCAGTGTCAGGGTGTAAATTGGATCAATTCTTGTTTTAAAAGGTGGGTATAGGGATTGCTGCAAGGTAATACAGATGTGTTGCCCATGTACATGGACAGTTGGATGAAAAGGACCACCTGTGCAGTGGGGACATGTACACTGTCTGCTTCTGGCACTCAGCCCAGGTGCTCAACAGTGCCCTTTTCTCTCTCAGGTGGCCATATGAGGAATGGGACTTCTCACTGAGCTCCTCTGAGTCATATGGAAGTTAGAAGCTTGAAATAGTTGTAAGATAAGTGTGCCTCTGTGTGTGTGTTTTTGTGTGTACATGAACCAGAACCACCCACCTTGATTGTGATAGATGAGGGCAAGAACCTTTGCACCATTTGGGTGCCTTGGCTCTCCCATCAGCCTGGACCTCCCAGGCAAGTGGTGCACCCCTTGCTCAGGGATGCCAGAAAAGGTAGATTTTGCTGTTTCCTGAACTGCTGCTGCCCCATTGCAAGTTTACCTCTGTTGTCATCAGCAGAAGCATCACTATCTGCCGGGAACTTGACAGTAATTTATAAAATACATAGAATTCTAAATAAATCAAGCTGTCATTCTCATACTTAGAAATGTTTTTATTAAATATTTTAAACTTCTGTATGAGACAAATAATATTGGTGGCTTTGTGCAACACAGTGACGTAAAATAAAAACAATTTAATGTGCAAGAGAATACAGTATTAAGTTACCCCTCATATTAGCCACTGACCAGAATGACTGCACATGGAAGAGTCACTTAGAGCATTTCAAGCACAGTGCTTCCCCAAGCAGAGGGTATGAAAGCCCGTTTCAAACAATCTGGCTTCAAAACCAGAAGGAGGACAAATTATTTGGCCTGGTGACCCAATCACTTGCAAATGTCACCATTTGCTTCCAGGACATCAACTCTTCACAGTGCATTGCATTGCTAAGTAAATGTTTACCTGGAAACAACGCAGTTACCCTTTTATGAAAACTTCCGATTCTTAAAATTTTTTTTTTTTACTTTCCTCACTGTCAGAGCTTCTTTCCACATTTTAAAAAGTGGATTTATGATGAATACTTCAAGTTTCCATTAATGGAAGTCTCAGATGTAGCAATAAGGCCTGTACGGTCATTTTTTTTGTCACAGTGATTTCTGATGGCTTTGTAGATGGCAAAAGTAGGGATGGCCAAACTAGGCACTCCGGCAAGGGTCACAATAACAGCATACACCCAAGGGGGGTATTCAAGCTTCTTCATTTTGGGGAACTCCTCCTGAAAGAGCAAACAATCAAGTTGTAGAAAGTTGTGAGGAGTAAATACCTGGGACACATTCAGTAATTCACATTCAATAATTCAATGGAACAACAACGTAATTGGAACAGTAGCTGGCCACAATGGCGCAACAATTTGCCAATTCCACAGCAGCTTTCAGGTCAAGGGTTTCCAGTCTCAGCTGTTTTGGAATTATTTCTACCTAAAATTGATGAAAAGAAGATGGCATGAAGGAAGCAAGTTTGATGGTCAAACAGCCTTTGGGTGGGAAGGCTGAAATCAAAGGGTGAGGGAGAGCTGAAACATTATTAAGAAGGAAGTGAGGTTGTCAAGGAGGAGAGACAAAAGCATTCCCATTTCCCCATCTTCCTTTCTCTCCCTTTCTGTGTCTGCCCTAAGAAAATTAAAATTATCTTTACAAATTAAGTGTGCGGCATGACTGTTTCTGTTTTGAAGATGGTGACTGGTATAAGGTCATAGAACAGAAAGCAGAGCTAGACAGGTAGAGAAGAGATGGGTTGACAGAGAAAATGATGAGACTCACATTTTTTTCTGATACTCCTTTCTCTGTACCACATACAGCTCTTGGTTTTGCAAGGGGAGGAAAGGAAAAGTAGGTAACTTATTGCTGCAATCGTAAGTTAAATCAAACCAAAACATTTGGAAGAGGAAAGGAGATATCTGGATATTAATATTAATATTAATTTCTTCTGTCAGTGATGAGTAACCAGCACTACTGCTGTTCTGTAGTAAATGCAAGCAGAAAGAAGTGCAATATCAAAATGGTTTCAAAGATTTGGTCCTTTGTCAACATTGAAAGGCTGTGACATTTCCAGATCTTCTATAATCCCTACTGGGGAACTGATATCTGTTTCAGACCTGCATGAAAACTGGACTAGTGTTTTGGTTTTATCCACTTCAGAAAAGCTATTCAGGTATCACTATATAACAGTTGTAGGCATTACAGCTGAATTTAGGACTTATTTTTCTGAGTGTTATTTTTTAATATTACTTTTTCTCATAGTATGTTTCAATTCGAAAACTGTTTCAGGTGGGAGATGAATATATCTGACCATGACTTTTACATTAAAGAAGGATACATAATTATTAAAAACTATTTTGGTTTGTATACTTACATAATTAGGGTCCCAAATGCTGTAAAACAGTTCTTTGCTGACATTCACCACAAGATAAAAGATGAAGATAACTAACATAATGAGAGGACTAATTAGTCTCCAGGTAATCTGCCAGAAAATATTGGGCTTGTGTCCAATCATGAACTCAATATCCCTGTTAAACCTAGAAACAAAACCAGGAAGTTCAGGACTGTAAAAACTGGTGAGGATCAAAGAGTGCCATAAACAGAAAAGTCCAAACTACCCCTAAATGTGCTTCCCAGGACTTTGCTAATGTCAATGTGAAACTGGAATTGTCAACAACATCAGGAGTTAAATCTGAGTAGTTCAATCTAAGCACATATAATTACAAGTCAGGAAAATTATTTTTGGAAATGTACTATCTTCTAGACTTTTCCTAAAACATATTGTTGCATTGCTTCATGACTTCTTGGTAAGAGTCTCGTTGCTGTATAAATTAAAGGAATGACACAATACTAAAAAAGAACAAAAGCAAATTGCAGTAATTTTACTAATTAGATTTTGTGCATAATATTAGTTTAATCTTGATTTCTACCAGTTTTCTCAGGTTGACTACTGAAACAATATTTAACTTCCCACATTATTAAGAACACCTAAAAATGTATTATTTGGACTATTCATAGAATGTGCAGCGGACAATGGGGAAAAAATATTTCTACAAGAAGAAACAATCCCAGCATTGAGAGTGATACTGTCTGCATCAATCCTGCACCAACTTATGACTTCTCCATATGATGCAACACCTTGTGCACACACTTCGGAAGTTTGGGGTTCTATTCTTAGTCCTCTTGTCTGGCTTTCCTGTGTATCTTGTGGGGATAAGCCTGAGGGGACTATTCAGTTGGTCCTTCAGCCATGAACAACACACTGAATTCAGCAAAGCCTCAAACAAATTTGTTTCATCTTTTCATTCCTAACTTCTTAGATCTAGGTGTCCTAAAATGATATGGAGCCCTACATCCCAACTTCAGGGCATGTCCATGTG